CCTTCATGTAAAAGAAAAAAAATATTTTTTGCCTTTTGTTATACCTTACAAACACATTGCTAATAGCACTGGCTGCATTGTAGTTAAATATTAATATTTGCACTATTTTGCACTGAAAACAGTAATTTTGTGCACTTTTTTGAAGTGTCAGTAGAAAAAAAAATTGGCTCTGTCAACAAATTTCATGTTTTTTAAAAAAAATGGTGCTGTCAGTAAATTCCTGTTAGTAAATTTCACTTTTGAAGGTTGGCAACACTGCCAAAGTTCCGCGTTACAGACACGCCAGGGATATTAACCCTACAGCTCATGTTTGTGTCATCAGCAAACGTACATACTTCCTTGCAATCTGTAACTTGCTCAATAGAATAGAAAAATTGACTAAAAATACTGAAAATAATATTCTGAAATCCACAAACATCCCAAATATCCAACACTCAAAAGGTCAGACAAGGAATCTGTACAGACACTGCGATTACACATGACGGCCGCTAGGGGGCTTCAAATCCAACATCTGCCAGCACGACACACACTTCCCAAGTAAACATTACACAATCGCAGGTTTGTTAGGTACCAGCCAGTACTCGATATTTGACACGCCTCCCGTAGGAAACTGACCAATCATCAAACACTCAAATCCAGAATCGCAGTGAGGTGTGGAACGCAGGCTGAAACGCTGTTAGCTAGTGCGCATGCGCTGGGAGTGGGCTACGGTGGTGCCTTAGTGGCACTTTTGGGAAGAGAAGTTGATAGAAGGCTGCAATGGAGAAAGCTCAGAGTGCAGGTAAATGAATGGAGGGAGATCGACAGCCTAAAGGATAACCTACAGGGGGGTCACTGAGCTGTGGCATGTCTGTACACATTACACAGGGTGACAGAGAGGGGAAGGTGCAGAGAAAGGGGTGACAGAGGGGAAGGGGTGACAGAGAGGGGAAGGTGCAGAGAAAGGGGTGACAGAGGGGAAGGGGTGACAAGGAGGGGAACAAAGGAAGGGGTGACACAGAGGGGAAGGTGCAAAGGGGTGACAGAGAGGGGAAGGTGCAGAGAAAGGGGTGACACAGAGGGGAAGGTGCAGAGAAGGGGTGACAGAGAGGGGAAGGTGCAGAGAAAGGGGGACAGAGAGGGGAAGGTGCAGAGAGGGGGAAGAGGGGAAGGTGCAGAGAGAAAGGGGAAGGTGCAGAGAAAGGGGTGACAGAGGGGGGGAAGGTGCAGAGAAAGGGGTGACAGAGAGGGGAAGGTGCAGAGAAAGGGGTGACACACAGAGGGAAGGTGCAGAGAATAGGGGTGACACAGAGGGGAAGGTGCAGAGGAAGGGATGACAGAGAGGGGAAGGTGCAGAGGAAGAGGTGACAGAGAGGGGAAGGTGCAGAGAAAGGGGTGACACAGAGGGAAAGGTGCAGAGGAAGGGGTGACAGAGAGGGGAAGGTGCAGAGAAAGGGGTGACACAGAGGGAAAGGTGCAGAGGAAGGGGTGACACAGAGGGGAAGGTGCAGAGAAAGGGGTGACACAGAGAGGAAGGTGCAGAGGAAACGGAGTGACACAGAGAGGAAGGTGTGACACAGAGAGGAAGGTACAGAGGAAGAGGTGACACAGAGAGAAAAGTACAGAGGAAGAGGTGACAGAGAGAGGAAGGTGCAGAGTAAGGGGTGACAGAGAAGGGAAGGTGCAGAGGAAGGGGTGACAGAGAGAGGAAGATGCAGAGGAAGGGGGGACACACAGATGGGAAGGGGGGACACAGGGCAAGGTGCAGAGGAAGGGGGGGACACAGAGAGGAAGGTGCAGAGTAAGGGGTGACACAGAGAGCGAGAGTTGACAGAGTGGAAGGGGTGACACAGAGTGGAGGGTGCAGATGAAGAGGTGTCACAGAGGATAAAATGCAAAGGAAGGGGTGACACAGTGGATAAGATGCAGACGAAGGGGTGATGGAGAGAGGAAGGTGCAGAGGAAAGAGGGTGACGGAGAGGAAGGGGTGACGAAGGGAAAGGTGCAGGGAAGGAGGGACACAGAGGGGAAGGTGAAGAGAAAGGGGGGGCATAGAGTGGAAGGGGGACGCAGAGGAAGGGGTGACACAGTAGATAAGGTGCAGAGGAAGGAGTGACAGACAGAGAGAGGAAGGTGCAGAGGAAGGGGTAACACAGTGGATAAGGTGCAGAGGAAGGGGTGACAGAGAGAGAGGAAGGTGCAGAGGAAAGAGGGAGACAGAGAGGAAAGTGCAGAGGAAGGGGGTGATGGAGATAGGAAGGTGCAGGGGAAAGAGAGTGACATAGGAAGGTGCAGAGGAAGGGGTGACACAGAAGGAAAGGTGCACCTGATTGGGTACTTTTTTTTACAAAGTGAAGCTTTCCCACTCTGACATTTAGCCTCGGTTCCATATATATGAGAATTGGATGCATTTTGAACCACATCTGATTTGCATGACATGTGAACATCTGAAGGGCTTTTCTTTGGAGCCGGATCACATATGTGTGGGCCGTCTGCAGTGCAGTTTCAAAAAAGAGTTTGGTATGATTTTCAGCCTGGTTCAATGTGATTTCCAATGTCATACAGTTTTACAATTTACACTGGAATTGCACCTGAACAGTCACACGGACGGGTCTTTAAATCACACTGCAAACTGGCCCCACACATTTGTGAACCCGGGCTTACTTAGAAAAAGTGCCACTGCACCTGCTGAGTGTACAGTCTATTTGCATGCAGTAAATTCACCCGTGTGTTAAAGTGGAGCTCCACCCAAAAGGGGAAGTTCCGCTTTAAGTACTGGTCCCCCGCTTCCTGTGATGAATTAGCACCTTTGGGGAGTGGGTACCTGATTTTGACAGGTACCCACTTCCACTGCAATCACCTAGGCGATTGGAAGCAAACGTTGCCCCCCACGTAGTCTTCCAGTACATGTGACAGGTCCAAGAAGACTACGGGATCATTCACAAGGTGCAGTGCTACCTGCACATGTGCAGTGGGCACCTGGCTGTGAAGCAGCAAGTTGTCAAATCTGGGTGCCCACACTTAACATGCCAGGAAGCAAGGACGGCCGGTGAAACCAGCTGCAGTGAGGACACCGCTGGATAGTGGGACAGGTGAGTGGCTGTTTTTTAAAAGAACACCTACAGTTCTTTGTAGCTGCTGACATTTTTTTTTTTTCCCAGCTTTGACTAGAGCTCTGCTTTAAGCTACACAGAGAGGGTGCACTTTATGGACAATGATCAGGATTCCATACTGTCAGACCAAAGTGTTTCTATCGCATTGATCTATTTGATCCTCTGCCTTTATAGCCTAATCTGACAGAGTTTTGGCCTCCTGATGCCTACATCCGGGTATAGAAACCACTGCCACGTTCTAGGTTATTTGTGGTTGGCTGTTTGGCAGGAAACCTTAGCAGTGGATGATCCAGATGCTGTTGTTTCAGTATGCTTTATCAATGCTAAACTACACTGCTCAAAAAAATTAAAGGAACACTTTTTAATCAGAGAATCGCATCAAGCCAATTAAACTCCTGGGATATTGATCTGGTCAGTTAAGTAGCGGGGAGGATTGTTAATCAGTTGCAGATGATTTGGTGTTAATGAAATTAACAACAGGTGCACTAGATGGGCAACAATGAGACGACCCCCATAACAGGAATGGTTTTACAGGTGAAGACCACTGACATTTTTTTCTTTACTCATCTTTTCTCACTGTTTTTCATTTAACTAGGGTCAGTGTCATTACTAGTATTACGAGTCGATACTGGACCCTACAGAGGTTCCATAAACTGTCCAACTCCTCCAGGATGGCACATCAATATGTGCCATTGCCAGAAGGTTTTCTGTGTCTCCCAGCACAGTCTCAAGAGCATGGAGGATGGGTCCTTAACCCATCAGCAGGACCGGTATCTGCTCCTTTGTGCAAGGAGGAACAGGATGAGCACTGCCAGAGCCCTACGAAATGGCCTCCAGCAGGCCAATGGTGTGAATGTCTCTGACCAAACAATCAGAAACAGACTTCATGAGGGTGGCTTGAGGGCCTGACGTCTCAGAGCCTGATTGGCATTTTCCATTGAACACCAGAATTGGCAGGTCCACCACTGGCACCCTGTGCTTTGCACAGATGAGAGCAGGTTCACCCTGAGCACATGTGACAGACGTGAAAGGGTCTGGAGAAGCCATGGAGAACGTTATACTGCCTGTAACATCATTCAGCATGACTGTTTTGGTGGTGGGTCAGTGGTGGTCTGGGGAGGCATATCCATGGAGGGACAAACAGAACTCTACAGGCTAGACAATGGCACGCTGACTGCAATCAGGTATCGGGATGAAATCCTTGGACCCATTGGCAGACCCTACGCTGGTGCAGTGGGTCATGGGTTCCTCCTGGTGCACAACAATGCCCAGCCTCATGTGGCAAGAGTATGCAGGCAGTTCCTGGAGGATGAAGGAATTGATACCATTGAATGGCCCCCATGCTCGCCTGACCTAAATCTAATAGCACACCTCTGGAATATCATGTTTCGGTCCATCTGAAGTCGCCAGGTTGCACCTCAGACTGTCTAGGAGCTTAGTAATTCCCTGGTCTAGATCTGAGAGGAAATACCCCAGGACACCATCCGTCATCTCATCAGGAGCATGCCCAAACATTGTCAGGCATGCATACAAGCACGTGGGGGCCATACAAACTACTGAGTACCATTTTATGTTGCTGCAATGAAATTTCAGCAAAACGGACTAGCCTGCTGCATCATTTTTTTCACTTGATTTTCGGGGTGTCTTTGACTAATGTCCTCTGTGGTTGATCATTTTCATTTCCATCAAACAATGGGGCATCCTTACGTTCCTAACACATTACCCAGTCCATATCAGTGTAGGTATCCAGCATGATATTTTTCCCCATTGAGATCTGATGTGTTTTCAAAGTGTTCCTTTAATTTTTTTGAGCAGTGTATGTTAACATCAGGAGCTGGTGAGTCCACTGCTCTATGTTCCAGCTATGTAGCCAACTATCTCATCATCAATAAATATATCATTTTTTTTCCAGCCACCCTGAAATCAGAAGCATCCCAAGTTAGGCGGCGTAAAAATCACAATGCGGGCGCACCAGAGAGACCAGCAGCACGGTCTCGGCATGAGCAGAGGAGCTTCATGAAGCAGGTGTTTGGTTTTGAGTGCTCTGATCTCTCCAGCTGGCAGCGATTTGTCAGCCTGATGAATCGACCAACTGATCCCGCTGGTCTCGGAGTATTCCGCTTCCTCTTTGGTGAGTTTTCACACTTGTGCTGCATTCCATTTAGGAATAATGTTGTATTACTGTATATCTAATACGTGCATTTTTCTTTCTCTGCTTGGACGTCTCTTTTTTTTCCTTGCATTTTCCTTTCTTGCTTCCTCTCTGCATAAGAGGCATAGGTTTTCACATCTGATCCATGACAACATATCTAAAGGATATCCTCTGTCAGAGTAATGGTCACATCCAGATGACCCTGTATTGTGCTGCTCAGATTATTGTTGCTCTGTGGTTACAGTAGACATTATAACCATACAGGGTTTTGTCAGAAGGGACTAAAGGAATCAAAAAACCCTTCAACCAAATCGGTGCATTGCACTGTAAAGCCCTCTTAAAACAGAAGGTATTCACATGTCTCATTATATTACATCTTCCAAATATAAGACCATTATTCTTCATGTAAGGACAGTGGTCAAAACCATGCAAATCTTTGTCTCCTCAACCAAATGTACATCCAGATCCACTGATGTATAGTACCCATATAGTCTAATAATATTGTGCCATTTACTGCAAACTGCACATATGTATTTCACAATTTTTGGCCGACATCAGTGCACTGTATGAAACCATAGCCATTATGGAGTAGAGATTAATGTGGTTGTAAAGGCTCAAGGTTTCTTGCCTTCATACATTTTATGCATGAAAGTAAACTTTTTGTGTGCAGCAGCGCCCCCAGCTTCCCCCAGTACTTACCTGAGCCCCCTCTCAATCCAGCGATCTGCACAAGAACAGCGGCTCTCCCGGGGACTCTCCCTTTTCATTGGCTGGGACAGCAGTGGGAGCCATTGGCTGAGACAGTAGTTGTTGTCAATTACAGCCAGTAAGCCAATGAGAAGAGAGAGGGGACATGCTGAGCCACAGTTCTGTGTATCAATGGACACAGAGCTGCTTGCTGTGGGGACACTCTGCAAGAGGTAGGAGCCAGGAGTGTCGGCGGACACAGAGCAGGTAAGTATGACATGTTATTTTTAGAGAAAATGCCTTTAATATCACTTTAAAACCCAACCAGGCATACATATCACAGTAAGAAAAGACTAGAGGAATCAGAAAGTCCTCCAACTTAATCAGTATGTAGCATATTAAAGGTTAAGCTCGCCTTTTGAAAAGAATAATAATGCACATTTTTTATAGGTAAAAAAATGTGCATTTATTTTTTTTTCTAAGGAGCCAGCAGAGCATTGCACACACGATCAGCAGACCACGAGTGCAATCTCAGGCTCCTGCAGACTCTCAGGATAATTGTCTGCCTGTACCTCTTGCAGGCAGGCAGTTACTTGAGAGCAGGAAAATCAATGAACTACCAGAGCCCTTGCCAGCACCCTCATAGTTCATTGAGAACTACAAGCCCTCATCTGCCACAGCTGACGGTACTTGTAGTCTATCCATTCACAGAAAACTGTTATGCGGCCGTGTCTGTGGAGTCCCACATATCCACACTGTTTTCAAATTGTGGCAGCGGGTGCGGGGAGAGGGGCCTCCCATCTGCTGTCATAGGGAGTGGGCAGATTCCACCCTAGAAACGGGTGGAACATGTGACCTGTTGCAAAAATGAACTTATCCGTTAAAGTCTTCTTAGAACAGAAGGTGTTCACATGTCCCATTCCTTCACATGTCCCAAAAATAAGTCAGTTAGTTCTCATTTCAGAACAGTGTGCAGAGCTTACAAATCTTTGCCCCATCAGCCTTGTGCACATCCAGAACTGCTAGTGTATAGCCTAATATTATAGAACCACAACATACAACCAGGGGCGGACTGACAACTCATGGGGCCCCCGGGCAATAGGGGATCATGGGGCCCCTGTGTCCTTGCCCAAACTCTAAAAAGCCTATGAAAAAGGTACCAGGGGCATCTCATGGGGCCCCCTACTGACCCCGGGCCCTCGGGCAGTGCCCGAGTTTCCAAATGGTCGGTCCGCCCCTGCCAACTGTTTCAGACATTTGGCGATCATCTGTTCAATGTATGGAAACCATGTCTTCTATGGAATATTGTTAAAGTATGAAGTTATTGATAGAGCCAGTGTTTGAATTCAGATATCCAGACTTATCGTAGCCTAGCAATGCTTGGGATGATTGTAGCCATATGAGTGCACTTTCAACGAGAACAATTGAGTACTGTCCATGATAATTTTATTACTTGCACTAACTTCCACATTTTTAGGGAAAGCTTTCAGAGTGTATCATCCTTTTCATCAAGGTCCTGCTTGGGAGAGGGGGGTAGACCCGGAAAGCTTGTCCTGAATATTTGGAAGTTCGTGCAAGTAGTAAAATTTTCACGGGCAGTACTCAATCATTTGTGTAGCCTAACAAGAACATTGCCTGCACACAGGATCAAGGGTCATTCTCCTTTCTGGCGGGGGAGTGTTGACTGGACGAAGACTGATGTGCAATGATAACCTAACCTTTCATACAGTTTGCCTAATGTGAGAGGTCAGCCATTTATACAAACACAGTAGCTGTGGGGTTACCTGACTACACAAATGTGAAGTTTTGTCTGCTCTCATCCTGCTCGAGAGACACGTCAGCTTCAAATAACATAGAGGGTCATATTAGGACGACCTAATGCTTCATACATACTAGCAGGATTTATCTTCAGATTTCATCAACATGGGGAATGTACTTGATTAAAGCTGTGTTTTGATCTCCGTTTTATGTGCTTCTCCCTTTGTTGATATGCTATTCCATGTATTTACATCTGTTAACCACGTACTGCATCATGTGTTTCCATACGTTAATACATCTTTCCTATGAAATAAACTCATGAAAAGTGCACATACTTTCTTCTTTGTACACTGCAGGTATGCGTTGCACATAGAACTGTTATGATAATTTTGTGAATGGCCCCTTTCATTAACGTTACATCTCTTTTACCAAACGGTACTTGTAGTACAAGCTGCTAGTGTTAATGAGGATTCAGGGTTTCCAGTCCTATGGGACCACTAAAGCCGTGTTTGCGCTAGCTGCCATGAAGTGCATTTCCATACTTGCTGTCAGATTTGAGAAACCTCCACTATATGCTTGTTATGTGTTCACATTCTTCAGCATACCTAAAAATAAGTAGAATAAATGTTTTCTTACCTTTATTGTTGTTTCTTTGGAGAAGATCTATACATAATACTCTAAGCAGCTTGAAATTGTTCAAAATTATTATTATTATTATACAGTATTTATTTAGCGCCAAAAGGTTTGCTCAGCGCTGTACATTATAGTGGGGGCCAGAACATGAGACAATACAGTAACAAGACAATACACAAGGGGTTCGAGGGCCCTGCTCTTTCGAGCTTACAATCTAGGATAGTTTACAGCTTGTAAATAGGCAATAGGGGTCATAATAAAGACATGTTTTAAGTGCATTAACATAAACTGTACCACCCAAGCTTTGAGATCCTAAACCCTTTGTTAGTATAGACGGGTGCACATCTAGTTTACAACTAACTACAAGATCTACCAGCACAGTACAAACGGGTAATCTGCATAGCAGAGGAAAACATCAGTTTTGGAGTTTTCAGAAAAGAGCAAGTAAGAAAGGTAAGAAACACATTTTATATATTGTTATGTGAATGGGCACATGTAATAAATATAATTGTAGGTGTTATCCCAATATCGCTGCAAAAGTAAAAGATGACAGCAAGGAAATAGCTCATAGAGGGTCTCTGTGCAGAGCAGTTATGTTATACGTTAATGTATCTGCCTTCCCCTCAGGTCTTCTTATGGTTCTGGACATCCCCCAGGAGCGCGGACTCAGTTACCTGGACCACAAGTACCTAGATGGGCTGGACGTCTGCCGATTCCCCCTTTTTAACAACCTTCAACCTTTGCCCCTGGACTGGATGTACCTGGTCTACATCATCATGCTCCTAGGTGAGGGGTTCACAGTTGATCGCATTTTACATACCTACCAAAAACTGTTTAAAAACAAATCAACTGATTAATTTATCTCACTATATTTATCTCAATATAAACACGTGTGTTTAATTTCTAACATTTTGGCATAATGTCTTTTTTTTCTATTTCTCTCATTTTATCCGCCTATACAGAGTAGTGTACTCCTCAATTACTGCAGAATGTTTGGAGTCTAAATGATGCCCTTAATTGGCTAACTTTAGCTTTTCGATATCTTTACTGTCTTATGTTAGCCAATAAAGAGTATCACCTAAAGTGTTACTAAACCCAGGACCCTGCATTCACTATATCTGATCTCCCACAGTACACAAAACATGGAAATGCAATAATTTTAGTAAATATAAACTGATAAATGCTTTTCTCATCAGCAGTTAGAGCAGTCTTCTGACTTCTATCAGTGTTGAGCAGAGCACTGGTTAAAGCTTGTAGGAGGAGTTTTAATTCTCCCCTATATGGCTTTAGGACCCCTGACCCTCTGTCAGGACAGTGGTGATTGGCCCTGGGCTGATCACATGCACTTTCCCAAGGAAAAAAAAAACTCTCTAGCAATACACACCACACTGAGCATGTGCAGCTTGCTCTGTTCTATCAGGAGACGGATTGGGGGACAGTACAAGAAGGGGAGGATCAGAGAAGACAGGATCAAACAGCCTTTTTTACACAATGCAGAGGATTAACCTCTTAGGTTGCAAAGTGAGTATAACAAGCATGCTTTACTTCATATATGGACTGATTTTACTGTTGTGGGTTTAGTAACACTTTAAATACTTCATTACCGATGTACGTCTTTAGTCACTTCCCTGCCTAATTCTGACATTTCTCTCCTACATGTAAAAAAAAAAAAAATCATAATTTTGTTTTGCTAAAAAATTACTTAGATGCCCCAGACATTATAAATATATATTTTCACAGAGAAATAAAATGGTGGGTTTTGCAGATTTTTGTTTCACTCTGTATTTGTACATTGGTTTTTCAAAAGCAAATTTTTTGGAAAAATACAATTTTAGTGCACACAAACTCCATATAATACTCGTTTTAGGTAAATATTAAAGTGGAGCTCCAGGCATCATGATTATTATTACTTGTACTGAAATAATTGGCTATTGTTATAACTATTTATACCTGTTATTCTTACATCTGTAAATCGATCACACAAGCTTGTCAGCAGGCAGGGGCCATGGTAGATGTGGGCATCTGAAGCCCGCTCCTGTTCACTTCCGGGATTCGGTGCAGCTGGCTACCCAGCATGCACCTCGCGATCTCGCGCCTGGGCAGTAATGACACTGCGCAGTAGCAGTTTGTTGATTGAAGGTTGCCATAGCAATGGTGGCATTGGCGGAAGTTCCCACCCTGTTATGGCAACCTGTCAAATCAGAAGACCTGGAAGTTGGATGCGTTCTGGGAAATAATGCGATTTTTCATTTTTAGTCAATTCGCTTGGACTCCTGGGATAGATAACACCGATATCCCAGGAGTCCATGCGAAGCACCTTTTGACGACATTGCCTAGGCGGCTGGACCAGAAGTGCTGCATACACAGATAAAAATAAGGTATTCAGACATAACAAAAATTATATTAATATCCATTAAGGAATACACTGCGGGTGGGCATGTAGATAAAAGCAACTTTTAAAAATGGGTGGAACTCCACTTTAAATAGAGTAAATAGATACCTAACATGTCATGCTTTAAAATTGCGTACACCCGTAGAACCGTGCCAAACTAGGGTACCTAAAAATCTCCATAGGCGATGTTTTAAAAGTCTTTACAGGTTACCAGTTTAGAGTTACACAGAAGGTCTGGTGCTAGAATTATTGCTCTTGCTATAATGTATGATACCTCATATGTGTGGTGTGAACACTGTTTACATATGTGTTTGAGCATGGAGGGACAGGACGCTTTAAAATTTAGTTTTTAATTGCTTTTACTGCTATCATAAGCAATGTAAACATCCCTTGGGATATTAACAATCAGTGATAGGTACTCTTTACTGAGAGATCCGGGGTCTGTGAGACCCCAGATCTCTCCTCTGCCCTTTAAAAAGTTCTGATCACATCAAGTTCTGTGTGATCAGAAGGTTTCCCAAGTCCAAAAATGGCTTTGTTTACATCCAGCGAAACCGGAAATGACGAAATATTCGTTGCTTCCACTTTCTAATACCATAGAGATGATTGGGGATGTCCTGGTCCACGTTCAGATCTATTGTAAGCCAGATCAGTTTCTGGCTCCCTTATGCCACGGGAGAGAAGGGGAAGGCTAGTTGCTAGGATTTATTTTATATTGCAGAGGATAGCTGGCCAAAAAAAAGATAGGATGATGCCTGTAGCTGCAGGCATCATCCTGGTATCTCCACTTAAAGTCCAGGACATCATATGACGTCCTACGGGTGGGAAGTGGTTAAACAGTGAAGTGGTGGATGCCTATTTCTGTACTGCCGTTTGTAAACACCAGTACAGAAATAATCATTGGGCAGCCTGTGTGTCTGTTAATGGCAGTTAAGTGTTCTTGCATGGCAAGACCATTTACTGTTATCTCACATATATATTCTTATTATTATAGCCAAATTTACCACCCTAACTCCTCCCACAGTTTTTACACTACATAGACAGTAATATACCGAAACGTGCGGATTGTTCCCGATTGGTGTGCTATTACTTTGTGGAATGTTTTGTCGAATGGTTCACAAAATATCGGCATTTTTGTGGTGAATTGGTCCCATAGGAATGAATGGCGGAATGTTCAAAACTAGAGTGTGAGCTGACAAAAAAAGCTGAAAAAGTAGGACATGATTTCTAAATTGCCATCACTCCCTCATTTTCAAGCCCACCTACAGAAATCTTATATCAATACGTTCAGCTATCCCTGCTGCCACTAAAAATGTCCACGGCTAAGCCATAGTCCTGATAGTTTTCACAATTTGTTTGCAACTCACGCCGCCCAATGACATTCATTGAAACTCCACTCTAGCCACCTCAAATTTGAAGGGCAATTTCCAAACTGCGATTGTGCCTTCATTTTTAATATTTCAGAGACATACTATGCATCAAAATGTAGGTATTGGTCTTGTGATTCTCACAATATAAAGTGCTTCAGTGTAGGATTTATAATTTTTTTAAACTACAACTGTTTGAAGATGGCAACCGCCAGTGAAGTGAGCAAGTTGGAGCAGTTTTGTTTTTAACTGCTCTTCTCTGCCCTTGCTGTAGAGTGAGTTGCCATAGGAACTCAGGTGTGTGACACTCCACCAAGTTACTCCACCCACTCCAGTTGTAGACTACTGGTGGAGGCAAGAACACTTCACACAATTTCCCCAGAAATTGTAGCTTTTCTAGTTTAATAAAGCCATGCTTGGAAAGCTTGCATCACAGGCACCGTGTACAGAGTCAATTAGATCAGCCCTATACCTTGTACTGTGATGTTCAGCCACACCGATCATATTTAAACATTGTTTACATTTTTAGAGCCTGCCCTTTTCTCTTAGGGAGAAAGAAGGAACTACAGTGTTTTCTGGCGTATAAGACTACTTTTTATACTTAAAAATATATCCCAAAAATTGGGGGTCGTCTTATACGCGGGGTATGAAATGTGAACCTTGAGTTTGTTTGGGTCAAGCTGGCTGGATGTGCAGTAATGTACATACAGTATACCGTGCTGAGCCAAGCTGGATGATGTCAGAGGGTGAACATGAGGATTTTAAGTACCGGTAAGGCATAACCATTTCAATTTAAAAAAATCTGATGTTTTTAAATGGTGTTGCCTCGGAAGGGGGGTAGTCTTATACGGCGAGTATAGCCCAAAACCTATGTTTTAACTGGAAAATTAGGGGGTCGTCTTATATACCCAGTCCCCTTATATGCCGGAAAATACGGTAATCATTCATTCATTGGTTCCAAATCACAGGCAGATCAGTAGATTATCAAAGTATACATTGATTTTGGCATCATTAACCCTTTCACTCTCCTCCTTTCCCATACATGTGATCTACATCCTGTTTCTATGTGACCTACTTTTTACCCCTTCAACTTTCATATCCTGCACACCTACACCTTAACCCTTTCATCTGTTCTGTCTCAATGTATGTGGGCACACTTCCTCCTCATCCCTCTGTATATAACCTGTTCATTATTTGTTTATTTGTATCTACTGCACCATGACCAAGGTTCATATTTTAACTCCCTCAATACCAGCATGTTTTTTTATTTAATTAAAAAAAAGGCAAAAAATTAGATTACCTTGGGATGTCTACTTTCCAAACAGGGTTTATTTTTGGGGGGGATTTGTACTATTCTAGCATTTTTATTTGATGTGCTTGTATAACTGAGAGTAAGAAATCTTTTTTTTTTTTTCCAAGATGTTTGTCCCTTTTTCTTTTATATAATAACAAATAAATAACAACAACAACACAGTGGTGAGTAAATGCCACCAAAAGAAAGCTCTGTTTCAAACAATACAAACTTAATTTGGGTACAGTGTTTCATGACTGAATAACTGTCAATCAAACTAGCACAGTGCCTAAAAATGGCCTGGTAATGAACAAGTATGTACAGGCTAATGTCACTGGTTATACTTGAAACTTGATATAAACTTGGTTAAACTTGATATAGTGCCACTTAAAGGGAAAGTATAGTGTATTTTCCGTAAGCTCATATTTAAGTTATTATTGCTGGATTGCTTATATCTAAAAGCGTGCCTGCCAAAAGAAGAGGGAATGTACTTAACTTTCCAGTGGGAAGTGTCTTGAAGGGCCGATGCAAATTTTCCACACTTACAGCTCTGTAGAATATCTACTCCCCTTCTCCCCCTACACTGTGCTTCCTCCAAAAACGATATCTCCTGCGCTCCGGGACCCAGGCCGGTGGTGAGTAGATGGAAAACACTCCAGAGAGGCAACCACCGGAGTATCCAAAGTCGTGCAGCTCCAAACCAAGGCTGGGGAAGCCCGAACAAACTGTGAAGTGAAACAACAAGAAGCGCACCAACCTTGTGCATTACCTCAGTAACCAAAATTTATTTAATGAAGGAATGGTACTCACAAACAGCGGATAAAAACAGGCATGTAAGTCCACCAAGGGACTTCAACTACAAGAGACCAGCGCGAATCCCATCATGGGTGTAGGTACTCAGTCCAGCTGATGCGTTTCGAAGGTCAAGCCTTCTTCCTCAGAGCTCTCTGTGTAAGAACATCCCACTTAGGTCATCTGTATTCTTATCTGAGCCGCTAGACAAGCGTTACCCTGGGATGTTCTTACACTTACAGAATATCACATCTTCAGAGATTAGAACCTTATGGGACATATCCCTATTGGAGAGGCACTGAGCTTCCACACCTCAGCCCCAGTTTTTTAGGCACTGCTGCAGATCTGAAGAAGTAAGCGCTTTGAGACCAGATCGGTATCCTTTCCTTACACGAATGAGGGACCATCAGAGGATTCCGTTTCCGGGCTGTCTTTATCCGAGATCCTAGGATGCATGTGATCCAGATATGCGTTTTTATACTGGGTTTCTGGTGAGTAGGCAATCTATTCATATTACTACAACGGGAGACCGGATTGCATCTACAACACTAGAATTTTCACTGTTGACTGAGGAATTCGCATTTCGATACTACAGTGGACTTATTTTTATATTTTATTCTTATTCTTAATTTTCTGTAATTAAGGTTTAATTTTATATAGCGCTGCACTCTTTACTTGTATATTGTACATTCACATCAGTCCCTAACCCTCAGGGGGGGTACAATCTAAGGTCCCTAACTTACATTCATACATACACATACTAGGGCCAATTTAGACAGGAGCCAATTAACCTACCAGCATGTCTTTGGAGTGTGGGAGGAAACCAGAGTACCCAGAGGAAACCCACACAGGCACAGGGAGAACATGCAAACTCCAGGCAGGAGGTGCCGTGGTTGGGATTCGAACCAATGATCCTAGTACTGCCAGGCGGAAGTGCTAACCATTTAGCCACTGTGCTGCCCATATGTAATAGTAATTGTGATGTAAATAATAAATGAGTTTAGTTAAACTCACATTCTTCCTTACTCCTCTCTTCCATATATTCATTGTATTGTCTCCTTTCTTTTAGGAGCTCTGGGTATAACTCTTGGATGCTTTTACCGCCTTAGCTGCCTGCTATTTGTAGTGCCGTACTGGTATGTCTTCTTCCTAGACAAGACGACTTGGAACAACCATTCTTATCTCTACGGGTTGATTGGATTCCAGTTGACCCTGATGAATGCCAATCGCTACTGGTAATTTATTCTGCGAATCCCCTCTGTTGTCAGTGTCCTCTGAGACATGCAGACTCACAATATTATAAAGCTAGCCATACTCAGCTGGATTTCTTGTGTTCGACTTGCAGGCTGTATGAGAGAAAATCAATGATAATACTCCATGATTAGCACTGTTGATGAAGGAATCTGCACTGCCAGCTCTTGTATTCAAGCAGTCACAATTGATTACACATATATAGATCAGTCTACTACAGGGGTGGGCAACTGTGGCCCTCCAGCTGTTGTAGAACTTCAAGTCCCATGAGGCATTGCAAAACTGACATTTACAAGCATGACTCCCAAAGGCAGAGGCATGATGGGACTTCTAGTTCACCAACAGCTGGAGGGCCACAGTTGCCCACCCCTGGTTTAATAGATTGTCCAAGTATCTCTATTAATGTGAACCTGCCATTCATTAAAGGATCCATTTACATTCTTCTGGAGCATTAACATACATTGTGTTACACGGTGTACATTTCATTTAAAGTAGAATTCAAGGCAAAACCTAACTACTGCTTATGCTCCCTTCCCCCCTCCTAAAACTTATTCTGAATAACCTGTGTAAGAAAGATCTGTATACTTGCCTTTTTTCAGGCCACTCCCATTTGGTCACGTGATTTCCCCTGTGTCAGCCAGTGCTGGCTGCAGTGGAAAGAGAGAGAATGCTTGACAATGGCTGGTAATGCCTGGGAGTGGTGATGTCATGCTATGGCCCATCCATTGTTGGTGCTGCCTCCTTCCCTCTGCAGCTGCTGCTGGCTGACAGAGGGGAGCTGGATCACATGACCAGACTGGAGTGGCCTGAAAATAGGTACGTATGCAGTTTACAGGTTATTAAGCAGAATAGGTGTTATCAGGGGGGAGGTAGCATTTTTATGAGTAGTTAGGTTCTGGCTGGAATTCTACTTTAAGGCAGCCCATGCCATAAAATGTCTGACACATCACACTATGGTGCCTAACAATGCATTGTGACACACTGCAGTGCATGTGCATAGTGGTGCCATTCAAAATGAATGGCAACACATGAAACTGTGTGTTGTGCTCTCTGGACCCTTAGCCTTTTAAAATAAAACTCCTTGCTAAGAGAAGGTATTGCAAGGTGCCTGCTATCACTTTTGTTGAGCTCCTCTAGTCCTTTGTTACTAAGGAGGCAGGTTAACAGTTGTGGTCTCCATAAACTGAAGGAGGAGGGAAGGGGAAAGTCACTACAGCTGTGTCTCTAGTTCAGCAGAGAAAATATAGTGACAAGTAAAATGTAATGGCTAAATTTTAATCAACATGACTGCCACACACACAGCCTATCCTGTGCCCAGTACGCACGACCATCACAGCAGGTATTTTCTTTGCTCGTGGGAGCTATAGTGAGTGTGCTAGGGGAGCAAATGGAAGATGAGTATGTGCTGCTGGAGAGGGGGTTTAAAGCAAATCCCTTGCTTTGACCTGAATAGACAAACACGTTTTCTTGCTTGGACTTTCACAGGTCTTAGATAGATTAGGCATCTGCTTTTTGTTTATGGAGTAATTCTTGATTTATGATTAAGTACACTAAATATATTTTATATCCAGTATCAGAGGGTTCTTGTTTTTTATTTTGTTTTTTATATGACATAGGTCAATTGATGGCTTATTCAGTTCTCGCAAACGCAATGCACATGTCCCACTTTGGAATTACACTGTCCTCAGAACCCAGGTAATCACAGTTTAACATTTTATACTTGTATACTTGACCTGTATAATACAGTTAGTTTTCCACAAAGACCTTCTTAGAGAAGTGTAGGACATTCGATCATGCAAACAGCTGCTATTAGATTTTGAGCGACATTTTAAACCCCAGCAACAACGTTCAAATCATCTTTTTATTTTTTACATCTTAAGGTGGAACTTTACCAATAACAACTTAATAAAAAATAATGTTCAAGGAGCATAGATTCCACATTAATAACCATGCTTTCAAAATGAGTTTGTGCTGTAAATTTCCTCTAGCATTGTTCATGTTTCTTCTTGCTAGAGGCTGCCATTTTACTGAAGCACAGATTCTTTGAGCAGCAGTGAACCTTTAGGCTGTAAGCAAATTGGCCTCTACATTTTTGGTACCGAAAAAAATAGAGTGCAACTGAGCATGTGCAGACCAGAGTGAAAAAGTGTATGATTGGATTTTAAACCGTATAGGCGCTTTATTTGTAATGTTTTACATAGCTATACCTGCAAAATGGGCCAGCCTGAAGTGATCTATCCGGACTTAATTTTCTGTCTAAAGTTCCACTTTAAGATCAATGCAAAAATAAAAAGTTTCATCCCAGCAAAGGATATGCCAAAGCTCATCCAAGCTTTTGTATCCTTATATTACACCTGTCAGCAGTACTAAACAGGCTCCAGAAGTGCAATGCAGGCACAGGGTACATTCTCGTTTTTTCCTCCAGTGACTTCTACTATGAACACAGGGATTCAGAGACTGCAACTCAGGTACAGCAGTCTTGGGACACTGCATGACAACCGTTTCAAACTGTAAGGGTCCATTCACATCAGAAACTGCACGTAACTTTGTGTTTTTCCTTGTACCTATGCATGCAGTTGATGCACGTTTACAGGCAGTTGATGCATGATTTTCTATCTTCATTTGACCTGTGAGATCACTTCCTTCTTCTTTCTTTCCTTCTATGTGCACTGATGTGTTGCAGTTCATTTCCATGCGTTGCGCGTTTGCGGAAAAATGCAGCATGCTGTACTTTTCTGCACTGCACTACAATGGTGTGAACTATGCCCATAGGATAGCCTGGATTTTGGACTGTCTATGGAGTTGGAGTGCAGTCCAAAATGCATCCAACTGCATACCACTGCGTTAGGTGTGAAAGAGCCCTAAACGTAAACTTATGGTTTGTCTCTTCCCCTATGCATACAAAAAGATGTACATTGTCTGAAATAACCATTGGGTATGTCACAGGTCTTACCAAAATTCAGTAAAATTCACAAAGGAATCTTATTTACAATGGTTTGAAAAGAAAGGTGGAATAGGAAAGGTGAGTGCAGTTATATGTTTTGTACATTTTTGTCAAGACATTTTGGGAGGAATTCATAAAAAGTGTCTGAGACAAACTCTGAACTTTGTCTCTACTGAAGCACATTCAATCAGCTTTTTGCATTGCCCTGTGTGTGTTTGTGTGTACATCATGTACATGTATATTTTATATATATATATATATATATATATTTATATATATAATTTTTTTATTTTTATTCCACATCATTGAAAGTTTAAAGTGAGCATAAGTGTTTTTACAGTTGGTAAACCATAATAAAATTACCCCACTAATGACATGTTCTGCATGTATGGTGAATATGCCAATGTCTATGTAGTTTTTTCTTTTTTATGTTTTTTGCTACCTAATGTTTATGCTTCAGTGCATCTTAGCAGAAAAACATCAATGCAAGTATTTTTTTTTTTTTATAAGTTTGAACCATCTTTATTTGTGTGCCATCTTCTAGATCTTCATTGTGTACTTTATTGCTGGAATCAAGAAACTGGATGCAGACTGGGTAGAAGGGTATTCCATGGGCACGCTATCACGTCATTGGCTCTTTGACCCCTTCAAGTAAGACTGCATGTGCATCAGACAAATGTTGTACTGGTTAGAATGTACTACAAAGCTCATTCTTCCCAATATGGAATTTCAGTTTAGAGTTGCAACTGGTATCTTAGCACACATATTACTGCCCTTTGTGGGAGTAACGTTTGAGGGTGCAACTGCATTTCCTATAGTAGCCGCCTAATGGAATGATGGGTGGATCTGGGAGGCAGATATTTATAACATCATCCATCACCACTGGACATTTGAAATATTCTCCATCTCCACCATTGATTTGCTATAATGTGGTGCAGCCTTACTTGTGAAAATGTACTTATTATTATACAGGATTTATATAGCACCAACAGTTTGCTCAGCGCTTTACAATATAAAGGGAGACAATACAGCAACAATACAGTTCAATACAAGAGGGATAGGAGGGCCCTGCTCCTTGGATCTTGATGTTTTTTGTGATTTATTTGTGATTTCTACCTTTCACGGTACAAATAACAAACTGAGCATCGTGCTGTACGCCAGCCTCTCTTGTCAGCTAATTACAATTGGGCTGTCAGGATTACATGAAACAAATCTAAAGCTGGCCATAGATGTTACAATATTGTTCTACAATCTTCTTTAGATCTACCATCAATTATGTAATGTAAGGGCCTGCCTGATTAGACACAAACTAAATGAATTGTTTGGATAGGCCTTCTCTTTACATAATTTCTATAAATTTAAAGAAGATTGTTCAGTTTATATCATTAGATTTTAATGTTCACGATCAGCATAAAGGCCATAATTGACAGAAAAAGATAGCCCGTCATTTGCAGAACTAGTGAGAGGTCTCTATCACAACTTACTGTGTAATAATATCAATACTGTATATGAAATAAATAGTGTTCTGAACCCCCCTCTCAATCAGGCGTTACTGAGAAATACCATTACCATAAATGATACTGAAAATATAACCACATAATACTAAAACGAAATAAAAACAAATATAACCAAATAAATAGGTGAACCCAAATGAAAATAAAGGTGTACAGTCTCTGTTTAAATGCTTGGAAAGTTCATAGATCAAAAGCACAAGACTTATTTTGTGATTCTGGAGCCATCACTATCCATAACAGTGCTCCACTGTATCTTGCAATATACACCAATTTGTGCCACCTCTGTGCTCACAGAACTCTCACCTTCATGAAGATGTGCATGGACCTTTAAGGTTAATGCATCTGGATTCTTTCACTGGCCAAGTCATCCAATAACTCTACACCGAGTTCACTATATGAACCCCTGATGTATTTATACATGTTGATCATATCCCCCCTTAATCTCCTCTTCTCAAGAGAGAATAAATTCAGTTCCTCTAATCTTTGCTCATAGCTGAGCTCCTCCATGCCTCGTATCCGTTTAGTTGCCCTTCTACACTTCCTCCAGTTCGCCAATGACCTTTTTGTGAATTGGTGCCCAAAACTGAACTGCATATTCCATATGAGGTGTTACTAATGATTTGTACAGGGGTAATATGATATTCCTCTCTCTGGAGTCTATACCTCTTTTAATACAAGAGAGGATTTTGCTCGCTTTAGAAACCGCAGCTTGGCATTGCATGCCATTATTAAGCTTGTGATCTACCAGAACTCCCAGATCCTTCTCCACCATTGATTCCCCCAGTTGTGCCCCCCCTAGTATGTATGATGTATGCATATTCTTAGCCCCCAAGTGCATAACCTTACATTTATCAACATTAAACCTCATTTGCCACAAAGTTGCCCAATTAAACAGTGCATTGAGGACGGCTTGTAAATTGGAGACATCCTGTAAGGACGTTATTCCACTGCACAGCTTGGTGTCATCTGCAAAGACTGAAATGGAATTTTTAATCTCAGGCCCTACATTGTTTATAAATATATTAAAAAGTAAGAGTCTCAACACTGAACCTGGGGTACACCACTGACAACCCTAGACCATTCAGACTATGAATCATTAACCACTACTCTCTGAATACAATCTTTTAGCCAGTTTTTCTATCCATTTACATACGGATTTTTCCAAGTCCCGTAGACTTTACCTTACACATTAGCCGTGTGTGGGGAACTGTGTCAAACGCTTTTGCAAAATCCAAGTATACCACACCCACCACCACCCCTCTGTCCAAGGTTTTGCTCATCCCCTCATAAAAAGAAATCCGATTTGTTTGACAACTTCTGTCTTTCATGAGTCCATGCTGTCTGTTGCTTAAAATATTTTTTTCCAGCAACAACTCATCTATGTGGTCTTTTATTTACCGTTTCAATACCGTGCAATTTTACACCTTCCTGCCCAGGCCATTTTTCAGGTTTCAGCGCTCTCACACTTTGAATGACAATTGCACGGTCATACAACACTGTACCCAAACTAAAATTTTATCATTTTCTTCACACAACTAGAGCTTTCTTTTGGTGGTATTTAATCAGCACTGGGGTTTTTATTTTTTGCTAAATTAACAAAAAAAGACCAAAAATTTTGAAAAAAAAACACATTTTTCTTTGTTTCTGTTATAAAAGTTTACAAATAAATAATTTTTCTTCATAAATTTAGGCCAAGATGTATTCTGCTACATGTCTTTGGTGAAAATAACCCAAATTAGGATGTATTTTTTAGTTTGTAGGAAAGTTATAGAGTTCACAAACTATGGTATATATCTGAATATTGATCAATCCTGAAGTACTGACAGCCAATCTAATTTCTTGAGGTCCAAGAATGTCAGAATAGTACAGATATCCCCCAAATGACCCCTTTTTGCAGAGTAGACAGTCCGACGTACTTCATAAGAGCATGGCGAGTTTTTTGAAGTTGTATTTTTTTGTCATAATTTTTCGGAAAATGGAAAAAATTAAACACAATTATTTTCACTATTTTTTTTTTTACATACTGTCACCAGTGCAGTACAGCGTCATCATATAACTGGCATGGCGGTGAACAGGGACACTGACTGGTGACAGAAAAAAAAAAAAATATATGAAAAATTTTTTTATTTATTTAATTTTTTATTACATTTTTGTTAAGATTTTTTTTTCATATTTTACTATGACCAAAGTAGTACAATGTTACCATAGTAACATTGTACTACTTTGGGGAAGTGATCAGTATTTTTTTTTTTTTTTTACACAATTTGCTTATAGCAAATAATTACTTTGCTATAAGCAAGCATTTACCTGAATGAAATCGATTCATTCAGCTTTTTTTTTTTTTTTTTTTTTTTTTTTTTTGTGCTTAGCTGTGATTTGGTCACAGCTAATCACATGACATGTGCATGTGATTAGCTGTGACCATTCACAGCTAGGCACTAGTATACAATGGATGGCATCATGAATGAAGCCATCCATTGTATACAACTGTCATGTGACCTGCTGTGATTGGTCACAGCAGGTCACATGGTACCAGCAACGGGAGTCGGTACTCGGATCTGTCATGGGCCGTGTCCAAGGTGCACTGCCGGTGACAGATCGCACTGCTGCGCCGCTCTGCATTAGCGCAAACTGCGCATGTGCGGGAGCACGCCAAATGGCGTGCACCCGGAGTGAAGAGGCACATTTGAAGCCGCCAAACGGCCATTGGCCGGGTGGCTAATGGTTAAACTCTCCAGTACCTTCCCAACTATAGAAGTTAAACTAACAGGTCTATAATTACTTGGTAAAGATTTTGACCCCTTTTTAAATATAGGCACCACATTGGCCTTACGCCTATCCAGTGGCACTATGCCAGTCATTAAAGAGTCCCTAAAAATTAGAAACAATGGCTTTGAAATGACAAAGCTCAATTCTTTAAGGACCCGTGGGTCATGCATACTACAGAGATCTCTACTGATTCACAATGCTAGAACCTGCATATAAAAGAAACTGGTATTTCTTATGGCTGTACTATTAATGTTAACATAAAGAGATTCTACATCTGCTCTGTTTCTCCCATTTAACTTCTCTGCATACAAGTATGTGTTCAGTTGAACAGAGGGAGGTCTGCGGCAGACATGACATACAGGAGTTGGTCACCAGGTGGCACAGTTTAGTTATAGACTATAAAGAACACTGATGTATGTGGGACGATCAAGTCAAACCAGGATCTTTGAGTTTATATAATAAAGAACAAATTTCAATGAGTGGAAACTGCATTTATTTTTCAACATACTCCCCTGCTACATATATACACTTATCCCAGAGTTTAACTAATTTCTATAAAGCTTCGGCATAGCAATATTTATCGGTACGCCTGAAACCATGCTAGCACAGCCTGCTTCACACACTAACACTTCAGTCATCCCCCCCCCCCCCCCCCCCCCGCCACCTATCAATAATACGACACGCTTGCCAATTACTACTGTGTGTAGTACCGTCATGCTAGCATCCCTTTTTTTATACCTGTAAAATTAAAAGTCCCATTTTGGCTTGAATGCCCCTCATATATTAATTTCTGCTGCACCACACAGTACATAGCAAGGTTTTTTTTTTTTTTTTTTTTTTTTTTTTTTTTTTTTAAGTAAAACTAAAGGCAAAACTTCTTTTTATTTTGGACATAGTGAACAAGGAGGTTTTTTTTGTGCAATTTATGTCCCAATGGGGAGATTTCTCTTCACTTTACTGTTCCATAACCAAAACAGGAATCAAAGGAAAAATCTCTCCAAAGTGAGGAAATCTCAGGATGACCAGAACCTGTGTCTTGATTGTAAGATTTCTCCTAAATTCCTGTTCCGGTGACAGCCCAAAATTAGGGATTTTTCTTTGCTTTAAATAGAGAAGTTGCATCTGTGTGCACCTCAGGTTGCCCTGCCTCCTGTTACAATGAACCCGCACCAATGTTTGTAGCATGTATATTGTAGATATCACCAGCACATCTCTTGCTCGCAGCAAGCCTTTTAGAAGTAGAGTATGATGGGACATGCAAAGTCTAAACTAGGGCATTTCCAATGACCAGGATGATTTTTTGAGCAGCCGTGGAAGCATAAAAAGTTGATTGGCTTGAATACACAAACATCTATCTTCCCTCCAGTTTGAATATATCCGATCCTTTGTGTTTTTTTTGTAGGTTGTTTCTAACTGAGGAGATGACAAACCTTGTGGTGGTCCATTGGTGTGGTCTGTTCTTAGACCTGACTGCAGGATACCTCCTCTTCTTTGATGTCACACGCCCAATAGCCATGTTTTTTGTCAGCTATTTCCACTGTATGAATTCCCAGCTATTCAGTATAGGTAAGTGGAGTTAGTGAACACAGCAAAAGGCATTAATTTAAAGGGAAATCCATAGTGTATTTTCAGTGAGCACCTGTTATTATTGTAATGTTTATTTTTAGGCCTCATTCACATAGGCGCACCAAAGGGCCATCCTTACCTACATGGGATTCACTGGTGCTCTGTGCAGCTGCGTTCAGCCAACCTGTCCAAATCAATGACAGGCGGCCAGCTGAACACATCTCCAACTGCATGCATCTCCAACTGCATCCTGGAGTGTACATCTGTGCGGGTCCAATACACAGATCAGAACACAGTCTGTCTGTGTTCTTAACTGTATATTGGACCCGATTAGATACAATTTCAGCCGCATTAAAACAAAGTCAGCAAATATATTTCAGTTGTGAAGTAAATACATGCAAATTGTGCTGTTTTACTGTGTAGAAATCAGAAGTAAATGTTACTTAACTGTTCAGAAGTGCACAGATGATTTACAGATGTTTAAAGACTAAGTGTAGTAAAAATTAAAACCAGAAAAAAACCACACTAGGGACATGACTTACAGTCAGTACGATGTGTTTCATCTGCTGATTCCTCTTCTTTTGGTTGAAATTCTCCTCCATCCCTTTATACCTAGCTGCACCATTCATAGAACCCTTACTACAGCTTCTATTCATGAAACAGCATCTAAGAATGGAGGATGGGTGGATGATTGATGGGTTAGCCCCCTCCTCTAATAGGTTCTTCCATTCATAGAAGCTCTACTGTTTTCTATGAATGGAGCAGCTCAATGGAAAGGGCTGGCATAGTCGGGCTCTTGATGAGAACCTGTGACAATCCCTTAGTTCTATTAACCTTTGCCACACCGGAAGATTACAGAGGCCATCAGGGCACTCTATGCCACCTAGGGCTGTGCAAGAAGGTTTGATAAAGTGGGACGGGTTCCCCGAAACACGTTGCCATAATTACAAGCAAATAGTGCAGTTAGGGACAGCTGTGAGTGAGCCCTGGCATAGAGTGCCATATGGATGGTTCCATCTTCATCCAGCTGCCCAGTCTGCAAGCCTGTCTGACAGTCTGCAAGGAGCTAAAGGAGAAAAACACAGCTTTTATTGCAGCCTAACCACCAGCTACTGACACTGGTTTCATTTCATCATCTGGCTGTGCATTACATGCCCTGATTTATGTGAGTGAATTTGTTTTTTTAATTGTCATAGTAAAGATTATGTTTTATTTAGCAGGATTGTTGTGCTCTTCCCTTTTGGTCTTTGTCTTTAAAGCTTCTCTGCATTCCTTGTGCTGCTGGCAAGAGATCTGTAGGATCCAGACCTTAGTGATCTTAAGAGAAATTTGTTAATTCTGTATTGGATTTTGTCCAAGGTTGCTGTACAGTGCGGAAGGGATAAGTGTTTCTTTTTTTCCCCCAGTGTTTCTAGATGTGACATATAAATAGAGCACAAGGCTGTAACTGAGAGATCAGAGAAATTCACACAGAGCCCTAAAAAAACCAACCAGCTAATGTCTCCCTGCAAGTTTATTCCTTTATGCATCTTATTTCACTTCATATGGTAGTTTATTGTTTGTCTCAGTCTTACTCTCCACCTTCCTTGCGGTTTTCTATCTCCATAGCTATGCTCTGACCTTGTGTTTAACTTACATCCTCCTCACAGGTATGTTCTCGTACACCATGCTGGCCACTAGCCCTCTCTTCTGTTATCCTGATTGGCCACGAAGACTTGTGTCGAAACTGCCCCGCTGCCTACATTGCTTTTTACCCCACACTCAGTCACCGCAGAAGAGTCCAGAGTGTGTCTACCCTGGTCAAAGGGGGAAAGGAAATGCACAGTATGGGCTGAGACAGAAACTAGGAGCCATCTTTACTGTCCTCTATATACTAGAGCAGCTGTTCCTGCCATATTCACATTTCATTACCCAGGTGAGAGCAGCCTCAAGTGACCCTGTCCACCTTATTTAACTTTAAAATATGAAAGTCCTGATGCAACAAGATACCTGATATTTTTTTTAGTATCCATAAAAGTCTCCTTTGTGCCCCTCTCTGTTTTATTGTTGCTTAACACAAATATGCAGCAGCAAGGAGGGTGGGTCTTTACAGTGGTGTCACTAGGTTTGGTGTCACCTGGCGTGGTAAAACATGGTGTCACCCTCCCTCCACTTCTCTTTAGCCAGGCACTTGGTGCAGGCTAGTTTTGAGCCGGCAGCACACGGTCAGAGGGCACCCCCCAAACTGGCCCCTGTAAATGATGCTGTCGGTGCCTGCACACCTATGAGTGTGCTGTCACTGATGGTGGTGACACCATCGTGGTCAGACATCACTTCCTCCTTGATGGTGTCACCCAGACCTGGACTGGGACAAAAAATAGGCCCAGGCATTTTAGTCTGAGCAGCCCATTTTTTTCTTTCTTTTAAACCAAATTACAAATAATGACATTTTTTATGTAATACTTACCTGCTCTGCACTTGTGTGTGCTCACTCTTGAGCCACAATCTATGCATCTGTAAGACGCACAGAGCCATGGCTTGGCCCTGCCCCCCACTCCTTACCAACTATGATTGACAGCTGGCTCCCGTTGTTGTGTCTCAGCCAATGAGGAGAGACCTGGGAGAACCACTGCTCCTGTGCACAGTGCTGGATCGAGATTGGGCTCAGGTAAGAATTAGGCTGCGCTGAGTGCAATACACAGAAAGTTTTTTTTTTACCTTCATACATAGAATGCACGACCACTTTAACTCTTTGGGGGTGGGGGAAGCAAGGTAAATTCATTTACAATGCTATTTGTAATATGCAGTATGTAGGGGGTTAATGTGGCAATTAAGGAACCCCTTTTTTGCTGCATTAGTGGCACTAGTGTCCGTGTTATAAACCCTTTCATGCTGCAGCATAAAGGGGTTAATTAACATTGACACTGATGTAGCACAAAGGGGTTCATTAATTGCCACTGGTCACTAATGCGTCAGTGAGTACATTAACCCCCTCCATACTGCATATTACAAATCGCATTGGAAATGAACAACCTCCCCTCCCCCAAAGCGTTAACCAGCTAAGATAAGGTGACACAACAGTGCCTTAGGTAAGAGTATTCGCCACTCTGCTCACTCACTTGCAGTGCACATGGGTTCTGGCTACTGGCTATGCAGGTCGCATAGGCAGTACACTCTTTTTCTGCTAAATCTCACGCTCCCAGGCCTCTTAATCATGACATCACGCCAGCTGGGACTAGGAAACCCCTGTCGGGTGAAGATCACTCCCCTAACAGGGAAGTGACTGTATTGCTATTAGACTTGTGCCGGCTTGGTGCAGGAACGTGCTGGGCACACTCACACCATTCCACTGCAGCTCTGTAAGCAATAGTACAGTGTGTAGCGGCAGCCCTGGTGTCAAACCTTTAGAAGGTGTCACCCGGGTGCAGTCCGCACCCACATAGCGACACCACTGGGCCTTTACACCCACACTCTGCACACGTGTTCATGGTGGCTGAGGTTTCTGTGTTGAGAATGTGCTCAATGCTTGCTCTGTCCATTCTCCTTAAGATTAAAGGACACAGCCCTTTGCAGACCCCAGCAGTCAGTGGTGAAAGCTTTCATTTGTAAAGAGGCTATAATACCAGAGATCTAGTAGTTTTATGTAGTATGTCTGCAATCTCTATCTCATTTATTGTGTTTTCAGTCTCTAATCAACCCTGTTGCACATCAGCAGTCTCTGATCATGTCCTCTATTATGTCAAATGTCTCTGACAGTCTTCTGCCATATATTTAACCACCTCCCGTCCGGCCATTGTATATAAACGGCTGGATGGTGGCAGTTCAGGGGTGGATGGCTGTTTATAAACGGTCTCCCCGCCCCCTGCTTGTGCGCGCTCCCTGGTAGCGTGCAGCACCGTGATCCGGTGCCCGCTGTGTCCTCTGGACACAGTGGAACACCGATTGACGTACGGGACCTCTCTGCGAGGTCCCGATCATGTGATCACTGATTGGCCAATTAGTGATCACATGAAGAGTAGTAAGCAAGATGTCACTTCTGACATCATTGCTTACTACGTGTGAAATCTGTGAATGATCACAGAGATCACATCATACAGGGCTATTCACAACAGCCTTGTACCATGTGACAAGCTGTGACCAATCACGGCTCTCACAGTATTTCTCAATGGCCGCAAGAATGTAGCCAGAGAGGAGAAACGATTGCTTTTACAGCCTTTATGGGTGTAAAAGCAATCTGTGTAAAAAAAAAAAAAAAAAAAAAATCGTCATCACCCCCCACAAGTAGTGCAGTGTCACCATGGTGACACTGTACTGCTAGGGTGACAGTAAGTAAAAAAAAAAAAAACAAATAATATAAAAATGTAAAAAAAAAAGTTTAAAAATTATAATTTTTGGTTATAAACTAATTTGGATTTTTTTTTTTTTACTAAAAAGATAACTGAATACATTTTGGGCAAGATTTCTAATGAAATATTATTTATTTGCAAAATTTTATAAGAAAAAACACTTTTTTTTTTTTACATTTTTAGACGTTTTAATTTACATAGCAAAAAAATAAAAATCCCAGTGGTGAATTAATATCACCAAAATAAAGCTCTATTTGTCTCAAAAAAATGCTAAAAAATTCATATGGGTACAGTGTTGCATGATCGCACAACTGTCATTCAAAGTGTGATAGCACTGAAAGATGAAAATTGGTCTGGACAGGAAAGGGGTGAAAGTGTCCGGACTTGAAGTGGTCAATGCAGCCCTTTGGAGCTGTTCGGGGCAACAGTTGAGGCCCCCTATACCTTGTACATTGACAACCACTGGACTGTATCTTCATCAGTTACAGTCTCACCACGTATTGGAGTAGTGATTTAATGATGTTCGGAGGAAACCAGACAAGGACAAAAAGGCACACACGCAACTTGCTATTGTTTATGAGCATCTGCTTTCTCTTTTCTTGCAGCTGTAGGCACTGGCTCACATTATGTCCTCTACATTTACTGGATCTGCTTACAGTGTTTTGTGTAGACAGCAAGTCCACTTTACATGAGAACAGTTGTGGATTATGTGCATGTGTCTTGTCTAGATTGTAAGCTCTATGGAAAGGGCCACCTGTTGGTTTCTTGAAATTTTTTCATATTACTAAACTTTAGGTACTTTTCTTTAGAGCATTTTATGTATTGTTACCTAAACTATCTTTCTTTGTTATATCTATTTCTTTGTGCAGAACCACAATAGATAATTGCACTGTATTAATTAAATACCTATAATAAAGTAATAACCTGCATAGATTACAGTCTGTGTATGTCTCCTCAGGGCTACAATAACTGGACAAATGGCCTGTATGGTTACTCCTGGGATATGATGGTACATTCCCGTTCTCACCAGCATGTGAAAGTTACCTATAAAGATGGTGGCACTGGAGAGATCGGATATCTTAATCCTGGGGTGAGTGACTGGCTGCACCACATGCTGGAATAAAACAATGCTGTTCTGAAATATATTAATAATATGACCCATGTAAGTAATGAACATCCGTTTGCCTGGGGTTTAAATGTATTTCTTTAGTTGACTGCTACAATTATTCAGCAATGTATATATTATTCATTTGCATCAATCCCTGCCCTCAATGGACCTCCAATCTAAGGCAGTTAAAGGATGAAACTTTTTTTAATTATCATTCAACCAGCAGGCTGAATGAAGAAAAATGACTAGATTTCTCCCATCCACACGTTCGAAGTGGATGGGTGAATCCTCACGCTGTATCTTTTGTATTCCGACAGCAAAGGGACTTTCCTGCTGTCAGAATACACTCATCAGCACTGCGGGCTATAGCTGGCGGCACTGATCGTGTGGAAAGTTTTTGTACAGAAGTTGATCAGTGGATCGACTTTTGTACAACCACCCTGCCCATACATGAATCAACATTTGTTTGGTCCCTGTTGAAGCAGCTGAATTTCAGTCCATATACAGCTGTTTTAAAGGAGAAGTACAACCAATTCTCTTTTGGCTGTACTTCTCCTGTGAATCACAGAAGTGCCGTTTTTTCTGTACTCCTGTGGCCCGTTTCAACCTGCTGTTGGCTAACGTCACTCAGCTTGTCCAGGCTGGGGAAAGATCCTGACGTCAAAGTCTGGATCCACCCCAGTGTCTGGAATGGCACTTGACTCAGTCTCACACTTAGCGCCGGCAGGGGGGCAGAGGCAGCATCGGACCGATGTTGCATCCACCTAGGTAAGTATAATTGGGGAAAAAAATAAGTCCATACTTCTCTTTTAAGGTTCTTTTCTCACATTTATTTATTTATTTTAGGTACTTATATAGCGCCATCAATTTACGTATATATTATACATTCACATCAGTCCCTAATCCGCAAGGGGTGTACAATCTAAGGTCCCTAACTCGCATTCATACATACACATACTAGGGCCAATTTAGACAGGATCCAATTAACCTACCAGCATGTCTATGGAGTGTGGGAGGAAACTGGAGTACCCGGAGGAAACCCACGCAGGCACAGGGAGAACATGCAAACTCCAGGCAGGTGGTGCCGTGGCTGGGATTCAAACCAACGACCCTAGTACTGCCAGGCGGAAGTGCTAACCATTTAGCCACTGTGCTGCCCACATGCATACATACACATACCAGGGTCAATATGGACAGGAGCCAGTGAAAATAACAGCATGTCTGTGAAGTATGGGATGAAAATTAAGTACCCAGAGGAAACCTACAAGCAGAGGGAGAACATGAAAACTCCATGCAGATGAAACCTGGCCAGGATTTAAACCAAGGACCCATTGTTGCAAGGCAGGAGTGCTAACAGCAACTGCAGCGGTTGTTTATTATGTCTAGAATTCAAGGCAAATTATGTGGCTTCTAAGTAACCAAATGTACCTGTCTCCACTACACTTTAACCCTGTGTGTGTGTGTATGTGTGACCGTTTTAATCCAAATAGGATACAATAGGGGATGAACAAAGACAAGTGGTAGGTATATTTGCATATATGCAAGTGTATTAATTGGACTGTGTGTATTTAATATACTATCCTGCTTTAAAATTGTATCCATGCTTTAGGTGTTATTGCTTGTTACTGCAATGCATTATAAGGTATGTTTCATGGTGTGGTGCCATTTACCGTATTTTTCGCTCCATAAGACGCACCTGACCATAAGACGCACCTAGATTTTAGAGGAGGAAAACAAGAAAAAAAATATTCTGAACCAATGGACTGCAGACACAGTACAGGAACTGACCAGAGACTGCAGACACAGTTCAGGAGATGACCAGAGGCTGTGGACACAGTACAGGAGATGACCAGAGGCTGCGGACACAGTACAGGAGATGACCAGAGACTGCGGACACAGTACAGGAGATGACCAGAGGCTGCGGACACAGTACAGGAGATGACCAGAGGCTGCGGACACAGTACAGGAGATGACCAGAGGCTGCGGACACAGTACAGGAGATGACCGGAGGCTGCGGACACAGTACAGGAGATGACAGACCAGAGGCTGCGGACACAGTACAGGAGATGACCAGAGGCTGCGGACACAGTACAGGAGATGACCAGAGGCTGCGGACACAGTACAGGAGATGACCAGAGCTGCAGATACTACAGGGGATGACCAGAGACTTGCGCAGACACAGTACAGGAGATGACCAGAGGCTGCAGATCTACTACAGGAGATGACCAGAGACTTGCAGACAGTACAGGAGATGACCAGAGACTTGCAGACACAGTACAGGAGATGACCAGAGGCTGCGGACACAGTACAGGAGATGACCAGAGCTGCGGACACAGTACAGGAGATGACCAGAGACTGCGGACACAGTACAGGAGATGACCAGAGGCTGCAGATCTACTACAGGGGATGACCAGAGACTTGCAGACACAGTACAGGAGATGACCAGAGACTTGCAGACACAGTACAGGAGATGACCAGAGACTGCGGACACAGTACAGGAGATGACCAGAGGCTGCGGACACAGTACAGGAGATGACCAGAGACTGCGGACACAGTACAGGAGATGACCAGAGACTGCAGGACACAGTACAGGAGATGACCAGAGGCTGCAGACACAGTACAGGAGATGACCAGAGGCTGCGGACATAGTACAGGAGATGACCAGAGACTGCGGACACAGTAGAGGAGATGACCAGAGGCTGCGGACACAGTACAGGAGAGATGACCAGAGGCTGCGGACACAGTACAGGAGATGACCAGAGGCTGCGGATCTACTACAGAGATGACCAGAGGTGACACAGTACAGGACTTGCAGAGCTGCGGACACAGTACAGGAGATAACCAGAGGCTGCAGATCTACTACAGGGGATGACCAGAGACTTGCACACACAGTACAGGAGATGACCAGAGACTGCAGACCTTTGGAACGCGGGGAGGGGTTGGTCGGGTACCTGAATTTGACAGGTACACGCTCCCACTTCCGCAGAGTTGTCTTTCCCCCCCTCTGCGGAGTCTTCTGGGGCACGTGACAGGTCCCAGAAGACTACGAGGCCATTCACAAAGTGCAGCGCTTCTCGCACATGCGCAGTGGGCACCCAGCTGTGAAGCCGCAAGCTGTCACAGCTGGGTGCCCACACTGAAGATGCCGGCGCCAGTGAGAGAAGACGCCGGTGAAAGCAGGACACCGCTGGACCGAGGAACAGGTAGGACTGAGGAGCAGGTTCTTCTGCACAGTAGAGCCAAGCGGCCGGTCCGGTATTCTAACGCAGCGACAGGGGGAATACCGGGCCGGCCGCTCCATAAGACGCACAGACATTTTCCCCCATTTTTTGGGGGAAAAAAGTGCATCTTATGGAGCAAAAAAAAATACGGTATTTGAAATGGCATCCCAAAACACTACAGCAGTAGCTGGTAACATACCTGTGATGCAGAGCACCATAAAGCACATACAGCATCATTGACATTTATTCATGTGCTAAGATGCACTGCCGGCCTATTCAAGATGAATGGGGGCTGCCTTAACGCAGTACACCTTAACCGTTGCTGAATGCAACATATAGGAGGTCTATTTACAAATGTTTTCACCCAAGATTCACACATTGTTCTAATTGAATTTTGTTGGACAAATGTGTGAAAGCTGTGAGAATGTGGTGTGGAAAAATGTATAAATAGCCAACATAGTGTGACCCTAGGTTCACATCTGTGCGGGTGGTGCCGCTGCGGATCTGCACGAAAATCTGTGCAGCCTTACCAACCGCACAGAGAAATGCGGACCCGTGGGCGGGTGCCATTGGTTCTAATGGCACACCGCCCACACTGGAAAACGCAACCATACTGGGAACCGAGGTTCCTGTGCGGGCTGCGTTTTCAAAAGTGCAGGGACTTCTTCCCTGTGTGTCACGGTCACGGGAGTCCATTCAAATGAATGGGCTTTCGTGCCCATGCAAAACGCGGCCTGCACATATATGTGAACCAGGGGTGAATGGGCCAACAATTGGGGTTTATTTACTAATGCTGGTTCACTCAGAATCTGGTGCAGCTGTGCATGTTAGCCAATCAGCTTGTAACCTCTGCTTGTTCAATTAAGCTTTGGCAATAAAACCTGGAAGCTGATTGGTTTCTCTTCAGAAATGTGCACGAGTGAACCAGCTTTAGTAAATAAACCCCATTATGTACATTGGGATGATACAAAAATGAAGTAAAATGTACTGTTAAATGATACTGCTATATTATACAAGGCAACACAACATGTAGAAATGTTGAAACACAACTGCAAGCCATCTGAATTGTGTTGGCTGGTCCGTGTGTATAGTTCCTTCCCTGGATTGGAACTTTCAGCTTGGCTAAGTGCCACATTTTTGTTTATATAAAACCAACGAACTTCCTGGAGTAGGTTTGTCAGATAGCAGATTCACGGAAGCAGCTCATGCCAAGACGGTTATCTGGCTTTTGAAGGTCATTCCGGCATGTACTGAATGTAGCCATTGTGAAGTAAGCTGCTTAAAGTTACAAACTACAACTTCTGCATTTTTATTTACAAACACTAAATGGAGTTCCACACTTCTCTCATAGGGCTCATGTACACGGGACGTTTGGAAAACTTTTCTGAACGATGGAAACTGACTGCTGGAAACGTAGGTTAGAAAACGGCAGTTTAGCCATGTTTGCATATAGCGTTTATGTGCGTTTGCGTTTAGAAGCGTTTTTAAAAGATAACCTCAGGAGACCTTCCCGAATGCCCAGAATGCACTGAAAAATAGTAACAAATTAACTATTTCAGACATTTTGAGAATAATAGAGGGAACAGAAGCAGAGAGAGCAGTATGTGTTGAGATTACCTGTCTTTTCTGGTTGTATTCACTATGGATCCCATCATGAGCATATAATGCGGCACGTTCTACCATTTTTTTCCTTCACGTAAAACCTGGAACTGACTGCGCTGGTGTACCGGGTCCATTTGAATACATGGAAAATATTTTGCATGCATTTCTGATGATGAAAAAAAGGCTCTGGACAGCATCTGGATATGGAACAGTTAAAAAATGCTTATAAACGCAAACGCTTATAAACACGGTTTACCACGTTTACAAGCGTTTGACGTCTGAAACGCCGGTAAAATCTACTCCTGAACGCACGTTTGGTGCGTTCAAAAAAACGACTGTAAACTCAACTGCCTGTAAGCAACTGTAAACGACTGAGTGTACATGGACACAGGAAAACATTAGGGCAGGGGTGTCCAAACTTTTTTCAAAGAGGGCCAGATTGGATGAAGTGAACATGGTGGAGGCCGAACATTTTTCCGAACATTCTTTGAACCATTACAATTAAATGCAAATAAATTATTTTATGCCAAGTTAATTGCAAACGACATACTTTTCATTTCATAACATTAAGATCAACTGACAGCTGAGTTTTCACAATGTATTGAAAATAAATTTTAAAAAAACTTACCTGCACTAATGTGAAGGGTGAAAAAGGTAGCTGGAGCTGAAGTCTCTGCTCGGCAGCCGGGAGGGGAAGAGAAACACACTTCACGCTGGAAGCCCGGCCCTGACGTCACCGCCCTCTGTCGCTCCCAGCGCGGCGCAGTCACGCATGCGCACTGCTCTCAAGCAGAAGACTGTCTGCCACAGAAGGGAGGGCCGTGGGAGGGCCACATTACACAGAGCAGGGAGGGCTGTTGGAGGGCCGTATTAAACCGACCCCCGGGCCGTAAATGGCCCGCGGGCCGGACTTTGGACATGCCTGCATTAGGGAGACTTCAGGGGCTGCTGAAAAAACCGCTAAACAGCTCCTGAACGTCAGTTTAGGAGCTGCAGTGTACATGAGCTCATATGGTAACCAATCTGTTTTTTAACGTCTCTGTTGAAAAAAACTTATTTACAGGGCTCAATATCCCAAGCTAAAATAACAGAGTTGTACCTTATCCCTGTTTCTTCTCCCTCTTCTTTCTTTTTCAGAGGGGTCTTATGTAGATGTTTGATGTAAGGGAGTCTGAAAGCAGCCAGCTGGTGTGCTCTAATGCTTTGTTGCATCCAGTGTCATGGGTGCCACTTATAATAAAAATTAATCTGTAAAACACAATTTTTTTTAGTAGAAACCATCAAAAAAAATGCATACAAAATATATAAAAATGAGAGGGAAAATCATTATAAAACACAATGTATTTATATGCAAGCTGTGTATCCAGAATCACAGGTGTAAAGTTCAGATATAGTAGGGGTAGTTCAACCATGTAAAGGATAGGTTCACCTTTTATTTACTTAATAAATAAATAAATGCACATTTTTTTTTCAGGTAAAAAAATGTGTATTTATCATTTTTTTTACACTGCAGCCTGTAAAGCGTTGTGGCAGATAGAAGGTGCAATGACAGGCTCCAGTAGACTCTCCGTACACTCTGCCCGTACTTGGTACGGCAAACAGTTGCCTAATTTCAGTAAGAATCAATGAATTACTACAGTGCTTACAAGTGCCTTCACAGTTCATTGAGAACTACAAGTTGTCTGCTGCAGTGGCTGATGGTACTTGTAGTCCATTCATTCACAGAACTCTGTGAGGGAATGACACGGCCATGTGGGTGGAGCCCCGCACAGCCATGCTGTTTTTAAATTGTGACAGCAGGTTCAGGGCAAAGATCCTCTGGGGGGAGAGAAGGAAGGAACTGGAACGTTACATGGTGCCCCCTGAATATGCGTGGAATATGAAATATGTTCCAAAAGTGAACTTCACCTTTAAAGAAGATGTCTGTGAATTTTAAAACTGGGCCATACATGGTTAAATTTTTGTTCCTGCATTTATAGGAAAATCCTTCTTTAGAACATTTTTGCTGTCATTGAGTCAACTCCTTTTGTTCGAAAAAAGCCCTTAAAATGTAATCCAGACCTGCTATTTGAATGGAATCTCAGATGTATTAAACAGGTTTCATTAGAATAGGTATCATTTTACCTGAACACAAGGTACATTCACAGAATTTCATTCGAGGAAAAACTTTCCATCCTGGTCCTTTTGAATTCTCTCATTACTATGGTTGAAAATGAACATCAATTTGACCCCACTAACCATTATAAAATCAAACAAACGTAAATTCTACTGGTGTATGGCCTGCTTAACTCACCAGACCCCAATAGGAAGGTGTGTAATGTACCATTGTGTATCTCTCATACATCACGCTTTAGTATAAACAAATGGTTAAAAAACTGGAACTTTATACATTCCCAGAGTTTCAAGTGATGTGCCAATCACAAAATGGTTGAATGTTCCAGGGGAGATATCTGTGTTTTTATGTCTCTCATGGAGTGTATTCATAACTGGAGCCTTAGGGTAAATTTATGCTGATAATTCTGTAATTCCGCAGTGACAACATTTTGACCTAGTTTTAACTACCAGTAGTTTATTTCAAGTAAAGCAAGTTTTTTACACCTAAAGGCTGACTCTCCAGATTCTTTAAAACAGCCCTTAAATTTTGCTGCTACAGTCAATATCTCACTTGTTTTTGCTTTGGCTTTTGCAGGTAAGCTCCACTGTACAAAAGGCTTGACCAACTTATGTTCTTTTTTTTTTTTTTTTTAGGTATTCACGCAGACCCGACGTTGGAAAGATCATGCTGATATGCTAAAGCAGTATGCCACCTGCCTGCATGGACTTCTTGGAGCATATAATATCTCTGAGCCTGAGATATACTTTGATGTGTGGGTGTCTATCAATGATCGCTTCCAGCAGAGGTGAGTACTTTACTGCCTCATCCAGAGCTACAGAGTCATTTGTCATTTTCATCATAACCGTTGATTAGCAGTAAAGTTAGTACATCAGGTCTCGCCAAGGTTCCCTTTTAGATTCAGATGTCTACATACACTCACCGGCCACTTTATTAGGTACATCTGTTCAATTGCTTGGTAACACAATTGCGAATAAGCCAATCACATGGCAGAAACTTAATGCATTTAGGCATGTAGACTTGGGGAAGATGACTTGCTGAAATTCAAACCGAGAATCAGAATGGGGAAGAAAGGGGACTTAAGTGATTTTAATTTGGCATGGTTGTTGGTGCCAGACGGGCTGGTCTGAGTATTTCAAAAACTGCTGATCTACTGGGATTTTCACGCACAACCATCTCTAGGGTTTACAGAGAATGGTCAGAAAAAGAGAAATCATCCGGTGAGCGGCAGTTGTGTGGACGAAAAATGCCTTGTTGATGTCAGAGGAGAATGGGCAGACTGGGTACTGCGACGTTCAGATAGTAGTGTCAGAATTAGGCCTAAACAACATGGAAGCATGTATCATTGGTTCAGGCTGGTGGTGAAATGATGTGGGGGGATATTGTCTTGGCACTAGCAAGGTGTACCTAATAAGGTGGCTGGTAAGTGTATATAATAATCTGTCTACCTAGAGTTGTTGCTAAATTTTAGGCAAGGGTGGTTCATTTAGGAAACAGGATCTGCCTTCCTAGCTGTTTGATATCCAGATATTTCTTGACCCAGAAAATAAGATGGTATGCCATATATTTGCCAGTTGTTGGCATAGAAGGTTAAGTTCAAAAAATGACCCTGTTCCATGGATGGTCTACACACTCATGGACATCTTTTAGATCTTGTTAAAACCGAACCCATGGCAGATAAAAAAAAGATGCTAATTAAGGCAGCTGTGTATTTATTAACCACTTGCCCCCCTGCCCTATAGCAGAAATACTGCTACAAGGCAGTAGAGCTGTGCAAAGTCATGTGTATATACGTTATATATACATGATTTGCATCTCCAGGTAGGGGGTGCGTACGCATGACGCCCTACTCATATGGCCATTGGCGGCTATGGATGTCAATCTCCGAATCCTGGCCGGCGATTCTCTGCCTGCATCCGGCGATCGCTGAGAAACCGTGACGAGAGAGACCTGTGCGTAAACAACACAAGTCTCTCTCTTGCCACCAATAACATGCTGCTGTGTATTTTCACAGCAGAGAAATACACAGCAGCATGTTTCCCTAGTAAGACACACACAGAAACACAGTGTTATTAATACAGTGTCAGTGCTTTTTATTAGCACTGATAACTATATCAGTGTCATTGGGATGTCAGTGGCAGTTAGTTCCCCCCCCCCCCCGTGTCAGAATGCCCGCCGCAGTCCCGCTATCAGTCGCTAATTGCCGCCATTACTAGTATAAATAAAAATTCCACTCTATATACCACCATTTGTAGACGCTATAACGTTCACTTAAACCAGTTAATAAACATGTATTGGGTTTTTTTTTTTAGCAAAGACCTGTAGCAGAATACACTTTGGCCTAAATTCATGACAACATTTTATTTTTTACATTTTTTTTACTAGATATGTTTTATAGCAAAAAGTTGAAAATATTGTTTTGTTTTTTTCAAAATTGTTGGCTGTTTTTTGTTTATAGTGCAAAAAAATAAAAAATGCAGAAGTAGTCAAATACCACGGAAAGAAAGCTCTATTTGTGGGGAAAAAAGGACATAAATTTAATTTGGGTGCAGCGTTGTATGACCGCGCAATTGTCAGTTAAAGTAACACAGCGCCGTATCGCAAAAATGTCCTGGTCAGGAAGGGGGGTATATCCTTTTGGAGGGCAAGTCGTTAATACATTATTAAATGTACAGTATGTTTTAAATGGAAGCAGTGTAAATACTTGACCTTGTATAAACCTCTTACTATTCACTGTACAGCACAGCTTAGACTGGTAGAAGCACAAGAAGTCAAAATCAATGTGCCAATAAGGGAAATGTTTTTAGCAGGAGAGAACAGTGACAGATGAGCTCATTGGTCTCTTGCTTTGCCTTCATTGTTCATTCGCAGGCTTAGGAAAGGACAAGACTTGTAGGTGTTACTTAACTGCAGCAGAGAAAAGTCAGACTCCTTCCCCTGTTGGATAGGGCTCTGTGGCATTGCAGAGCTGTGTAAATCTCAGGACTGGCTGGACAGAAAAGCAGGCAATGACAGGTGAAATAGGTACTATATATTTATTTATTACAGGTACTTATATAGTGCTGTCAATTTATGCAGCGCTTTACATATATATTGTACATTCACATCAGTCCCTAACCCTCAAGGGGTGTACAATCTAAGGTCCCTAACTCACATTCATACATACACATACTAGGGACAATTTAGACAGGAGCCAGTTAACTTACCAGCAAGTCTTTGGAGTGTTGGAGGAAGCCAGAGAACCTAGAAGAAACTCACGCAGGCACCGGGAGAGCATGCAAACTCCAGGCTGGTAGTTCCATGGGTGGGATTTGATCTGACGACCCAAGTGCTGCTAGGTGGAAGTGCTAACCACTTGGCCACTGTGCTGCCCAATATATACCCTATGTACTATAATACAAGGCCTGACTGAAAAAAAAACTGTTAGTATGATTCAAATAAAGCTGATATCAACTACATGTATAGATGGTAAATATTATACTCTCCCTAAGGGCCAATTCACACCAGTGTGTTGATCTACATTTTAGCACAGATGTAAAACGCAGAATAATGTAAGGGCATCTGAAAAGCTATCATTTCCAGTGTGTCCTATTCACACCATGACGCTGCACATGTATGTCAACGGACATCAAAATGTATATCAACGGAAGTCAGCACACATTAAAATGGATGGAAATCATACATGCATGCATTACATGCATTTTCCACACATTTTAGCACAGGTAGTGTGAATTGGCCTGAGTCTGGCGGAGTTACACGGATTTGAAAATTAGTTCCTGCACTACTTTTACTGCTTTCTGGTGCATCTGTGTATGAAGTCGCACAGATGCCTTACAAGTCCCACTAACATGCGACTTCGAAATCGTGCAACTTCAAGTGAAGTCGCATGATTTCAATGTATTCAGTATGAACCAGGGTTTAAGGTGGACCTTAATATTATATACTGATATACTGAGTGTGTGGAACGGCATGAACAGTGCCCTGGACCCTGTTTTTTTTTTTTTTTTTTGAAAAGTGGATTATAATATATACAGTTTGCAGTCTTTGTTTAGTACAGTTAAAGACTTTGTCCTTTCTTTTTGCTACAGTATATTAAAACTTTGGCCCCGAATGGTTGGTGTGTTTATTCAAGGAGGCTGCCAGATTGTTCTCTGCACTATTACATCTGGCTGCATGACAAATCGTATAACAACTGTTTTCCATTATAAGCGATAGATGAGCTTTTCTGTTGTAAAATGTCTCAGCACATGTGATCAAATGTAGAAAGATATATGCGGCGCTCCCTTGCCAACAAAACTAAATAAAAAAATATAAATGCATGTGACATAAACGCATAACAGAAATACATAAATATTTGTTGAATCAATATGCAACAGTACACCTCTGTGTAATAAAAAGTGTTCCGTGAGAACATAGAATAAACATATGCAGTCTGTGAATTCAGACTAATCTTCCTTCGTGCAACTTATACATCTTCCTGCAGTCTGTGATTGCATTAATAATGGTCACCTTCATGCAACTTTAAAGCAGAGCTCCACCCAAAAAGGGAAGTTCCGCTTTAATGCTTCGTCCTCCACTCCCCCGTTAAGGATTGACACCTGGGTACCCGAATTTGACAGGTACCCGTTCCCACTTCTGGTGCAATCGCATAAGGCAATCGGAAACGGAAGTTGTTCTCCCTCCCTGTAGTCTTCTGGGACATGTGACAGGTCCCAGAAGACTACGGGGCCATTCACAAAACACAGCGCTACTCGCGCATGCGCAGTGGGCACCCAACTGTGAAGCCACAAGCTGTCACAGCTGGGTGCTTACACTAAGGATGCCGGTACCTAGGAGAGAAGATGGCTGGTAAAACCAGCCATGTTGAGGACACCGCTGGACTGAGGGACAGGTAATTGTCTGTATTTTGAAAGTCAGCAGCTACAGTTTTTGTAGCTGCTGACTTTTATATTTTTTTATTCAACTGGAACTCCTCTAATGATATAATGCTCACCTCCAAAGTGTGACCTAAGATTAAGAACATATGTTGTTAGGTCTGGATGCACTTTTTCTCCTATGGGGTTAATGATCTCTCCTCCTTAGGAACAACAGCCAATCTTCTCCTCCCCGATCTTATGGGTAATCACTCCTTCTTACTCCTCCATTATGCTCACGTAAACACAGAACAGCATTTCATAGTGTAGTAGTTAAAACTAAGCTGTTTATTAAAAGTATTGCTCTTACATATAGTTAGAAATCAGCGCTCTTTTAAGACCAGTATTTTGTACAGCCACAACTCACTCCTGCAGCGTCTGACGCCCAGCTCCTCCCACACGTTTACATCTTTAATTTTTTACTTTTTTTTTTTTTTTTTCTTCTAAACGTTTTCTCATTACATAAGGGACAAAAAGTCCCCTACATGAGCATTTTTTGGTAACAGGTTCTCTTTAATGAAGCAACAGCAGTGGCATCACTAGGGTTGGTGTCATCTGGTGTGGTAAAACATGGTCACTCCCCCCTCTCAAAAATCAAATTTCCCACATAACTCAAACACTGGGCAAGCTAGCACATCGGGCTCTCTCCTGTCTAGTTTTGGGCTGGCAGTGCACACTCACGGTGTGCACACCAAACCGGCCCCTGTAAATGAAGCTAGGAGAACTGCAGGGGGTGATAAGAGGAGACACCCCATCCAGGAATACAGAAACTGCCCTCCCTCCCGCCTCCAGTTAAAGAAGAACCTCCAGCTAGGAGAACTGCAGAAGGGTGATAAGTGGAGACCCAACACCCCCCCCATCCAGAAATGCAGGAACTCCCCTCTCACCTCCTTCCAGTTAAAGAAGACCCCCAGCTAGGAAAACTGCAGGGGGGTAATAAAAGGGGACCCGCATCGAGGAACATAGGAACTCCCGTTCCTCCAACTACCGTTAAAAAAGACCCCTAGCTGGGAGGACTGGAGAGGGGTGATAAGAGGGGATCCTGCCCACCCCCCCCTATAGTAGAAAGAGACCCCTGGCCAGGAAGACTACAGGCAGCTGCCCCTTCCTTCCGCTGGAGAAGGTGAATGGCTTGAAGCGAGAGAACACATCCAAGGAGCCGTACATGCATAGCATTCCTGGTCACAGTGCGGTGGGGGTGAGTCACAGTAGTGGCGGAGAAAGAAGAAATCTGCACAGTTCAGATGGCTGTGATGGAGCTGTGGGCAGGCCTGTCACTGCTACTTCAACTGCTTGCTCTGTTCTCGCTGCTGAAACCGCTCTCCCTTTCCTCACTGTACCAGGACAGCTGATTTGATCCCGTGCTCAGCACATGGGGGAGGCTGCAGGATCCAGGGTGGAGGTGGGGATGCTGCTAAGCATGAACAGTGAGTTCAAGCATCCTTCCACCTATACAATTAAAAGCAGTGGAAGCCGACGGGAGGAGAGATGGGGATAGGAGGATTGGTGCTGCGCAGCTGCCACTGATGTGTCTGGACTGGATGCAAAACTTGGACTGACAGGTGGCAACCCTAGAGTCTGGTGGGTGTCACTCGAGTGTGGTCCACACCCCCACTGGATATCGGGTCTGAATAAAGCTAATGGAGTGCAGACAGCACTCCATTAGCTTCTTTTCCAGCCATACAGCTTGGAAATATTGAGACCAGAACCTGGAAGTGACATTTTACAAGTCGCATCAGGGTCATTAAAAGGATGGGGAGATCAGCGAACAGCAGCACCTTTCATCCTGGTCCTGGATCCGATGGGCGCTTGGACTCAAGTAGTTAAGGCATAAAGTCTGCAGTCATTTTAGAAACCATGTTGGTCTTGTATCTGATGTGACCGTCCGTTAGGAATCATTGACAGTACTGGTGTTACTTTCATTAAACACTTTTTCCTTCCTGCAGCATTTCTGACTTGGCTCCTCTTCTCTGTGTTGTTTTTCATGTACTGACATTGATGATCTATCTCTGTGCCAGGCTGTACGATCCCACAGTGGACATAGTGAAAGCCGATTGGTCACCTTTCCATAAAACACCTTGGGTTAAGCCATTGTTAGTTGACCTGTCACCATGGAGATTAAAATTCCAGGAGATTGAGAGCTCTTTGGACAATCAAACTGATGTGGTCTTCATAGCAGACTTCCCAGGTAAGGGTGGCAACTTGTAGTATATTTATTATTGTATTGACTGTTCTTTTTCTGTACTTCTTTTGCTACTCATCCCTCTTAGATGCTTGCCACTTTCTGTGTATGTCTGTATTGTTCCAATTCTTTATTACCCTCATCTGTACTCTTAATCTGTTTTTATTTTTGTTCTTATTTCTCAGGCCTTTACCTGGAGAATTATCTGCATGAGGATTTAGGTAACACCAGTATACACGTGCTGCAAGGGGAGGTCAGTGTTGAAATTGTGAAGGACTCTAAAAACTTCACCCTGAAGGAGGGAGATCGAATGCAGGTAATAGAGGGACCCATGAAGACCTATAAATGTGTAGGATTCACCCCTCCATCTATTTATAGGGGTTTGTTTAACCGCTTCCCCCATGTACATAAACGGCTGGACGTGAGCAGTGCAGGAGCGGATGGCTGTTTATATAAATGTCTTCTCGCATTCCCTGCCTGTGCGCGCTCCCTGGGACCGCGATCCGGTACCCACTGTGTCTGGAGGACACAGCAGAACACCAATCTCTGTACGGGACCTCTGGGTGAGGTCTCAATCATGTGATCATTGATTGGCCAATCAGTGATCATGTGAATAGCAGTAAGCAAGATGTTACTTGCTGACATCATTGCTTACTACTAGTGAAATCTGTTAATGATCACAGAGGTCACACGGTACAAGGTTTTCATAACAGCCTTGTACCATGTGACCAATCACAGCTCTCACAGTATTCTCAATGGCTGTAGGAATGCAGCCAGAGAAAAGGAGAAATTATTGCTTTTACAGCCTTTATGGGTGTAAAAGTAATCAGTGAAAAAAAAAAAAAAAAATCTTCATCACCCCCCACAAGTAGTACAGTGTCACTATGGTGACACTACTTCTAGGGTGACAGTAGATTAAAAAAAAAACTCATAAATATTATGAAAAAAAAAATGTAAAACTTCTTTTGCAAAATTATAATTTTTGGTTATAAACTAATTTGGGTTTTCTTTTTACTAAAAAGATACCTGAATACATTTTGGCCAAGATTTATGAAGAAAGATTATTTATTTGCAAAATTTTATAAGAAAAACACTTTTTTTTAAATGTTTGGACTTTTTCATTTATATAGCAAAAAAATAAAAATCCCAAAAGTGAATAAATACAATCAAAATAAAGTTTTATGTGTCTCAAAAAATGCTAAAAACATCATATGGGTACAGTGTTGCATAACTGCGCAATTGTCATTCAAAGTGTGATGGCATTGAAAGCTGAAAATTGGCCTGGACAGGAAGGGGGTGAAAGTGTCCAGACTTGAAGTGGTTAATTATTGCTTTTCATTATGCCACTTTGCCATTTATTTCTTCTCAGCTGTTTTTTTATAAACTAAAAAAAAACAAAAACAAGTTTGACATGGAAAGTTTTGACTCTAAATTTAGTATTACCCCGGTTCACATATGTGCGGGCTGCGCTTTGTGTGGGCACGAGAGCCCATTCATTTGAATGGACTCCCGTGCCCCGTGACACGCAGGGAAGAAGTCCCTGCACTTCTTTTGAAAACGCAGCCCGCACGGGAACCTCGGTTCCCAGTACGGTTGCGTTTTCCAGTGCGGGCGGCGTGCCATTAGAACTAATGGCACCCGTTCGCGGGTCCTCATTTCTCTGTGCAGGTGGTGTGGCTGCACGGATTTTCTTGTGGATCCGCAGTGGCACCACCCGCACAGATGTGAACCTAGGGTAAGGGCTCAATAACGCAGTTGTTCATACGGCCAGCTGTTTTTGTTCAGGTACAGCTGCTCAGCCTGTACAGATTAATGACAGATCCTGAAGCTGTCCACATGTGATCACTTATTGCGTGATTACCTGCAGTTAAGGACAGATGAGCAGCCCTAGGCGCAGGTTGTGCACAGAGCCACTCATCTGTTCCTAGCTGCATGTAATCACTCAAGGACAGCCATGGACAGTGTCAACCCATCATTGATTTGCTCAGGCTTTCGGTTGCAACTGAATGTAAACACCTGCCCCCCATATACGAAGGCAACTTTCACACTACTTCACTGAAGAAGTAAAACTAGAGTTGGAGAGCCCTTTACTTATACAATGCCATTTGTTCTGCATGGGCATGGTGACAGTGGGGTTGATTTGAGTTACTTGGAGAGTGCAAAATCTGGTGCAGCTGTGAACAGAAACCAATCAGCTCCCAGATTTCATTTCCAAAGCCTAATTGAACAAGCTGAAGTTAGGAGCTGATTTACTGCCATGCACAGCTGCACCAGATTCTGAGTGCCCCAGTTTTAGGCTTGGTTCACATATGAGCGGGTGGTGCCGCTTCGGATCTGCATGAAAATACCTACAGCCGCACCACCCGCACAGAGGAATGCGGACCCGTGGGCAGGGGCCATTAGTTCTAATGGCACGCAGCCCGCACTGGAAAACGCAACCGTACTGGGAACCGAGGTTCCCATGCAGGGACTTCTTCCCTGCGTGTCATGGGGTACGGGAGTCCATGCAAATCCATGCAAATGAATGGGCTCCTATGCCCGCGCAAAACGTGGCCCACACTGCCGCATATATGTGAACTGGGGGTAAATCTCCCCCAGTGTGTCTTTAAGGCTAGGTTCACACCTATGCAGTTTGCGTTTGAACCTTTTCTGCAGTACATTTTGCAGTGCGTTTTTGCATGTGCGTTAAAACACATCAAAAACGCGGCAAAAATGCACTACATGCTTTTCTGCAGCATTTCCATTGAAGTCTATAGAACCAAAAACGCAACTTTTTGCATTTATAAAAGACCCTGACCCTTTCCAAAAAACGCACCGGGTACAAGTACGGAGATGTGAACGTGTCCCATATAGAATCACGTTAAATGAACTGTACTGTGTTTCTGCAAAACGCTGCGGAAACCGCTTAGGTGTGAACCTAGGGCAAGGCTAGTTTACACCACAGTTCATAAATTCGGTGTGCTTATCCACATGTTTAACCACTTGCCTACCGGGCACTTTCACCCCCTTCCTGCCCAGTCCAATTTTCAGCTTTCAGCATTGTTGCACTTTGAATGACAATTGCGCAGTCATGCAACACTGTACACATATGACATTTTTTATTATTTTTTTGAGACGGATAGAGTTTTCTTTTGGTGGTATTTAGTCACCACTGTGTTTTTTTTATTTTTTTGCTAAACAAATCAAAAACAACAGAAAATGAAAAAAAAAAAAAAAACCCAAAACTTTTTTTCTTAGTTTCTGTTATAAAATTTTGTAAATGAGTAATTTTTCTCCTTCACTGATGTGCGCTAATGAGGCTGCAGTGATGGGCACTGATAGGCGACACTGAGGAGGCACTAGTAGATGGCACTGATGGGCATTGACAGGCATCACTGGTGGGCATTGACAGGCATCACTGGTGGGCACTGAAAGGCAGTACTCATATATGGCACTGATAGGCAGCACTGACTGGCACTGTTAGGTGGCACTGATGGGCACTGATAGATGGCACTGAAAGGCTGCTCAGATGGGCACTGATATGTGGCATTGATGTGCACTGGTAGGTAGATATGTGGCATTGATGTGCACTGATGGGCACTGACAGGTGGCATTGATGGGCACTGACAGGTGGCACTCATGGGGCTACACTAATTATCAGTGCCCTGATGATCAGTGTAGATGTCCCCTCTGAGGAATGCCGATTACCGGCTCTCTTCTCATCACGAGCTGTCAGCGTGAGGAGAGAAATGCCAATAACCAGCATTTCCTTATTTACATGTGCTCAGCTGTGATTGGACACAGCTGATCACATGACAGAGCCAAAGTCCTCGGCTCTTTCTGCTGATTGGTGATCTGCTGTGTCCCAGGGACACAGTGCACCACTGATCGCGGCGCTGTGTGCCCCCGGGGACGTCATATGTCAGAATGAGAGAACCACCGCCCCTGTCTGTCATTTCCTTATATGGCGGGTAGGATTGGATAAAAATGCTCTCCAGCACATTTTGTTTTTCCTCCTAAGGATGTCTGCTTAATCATGTTGCTTTTCAGGGGTGTGGTATACACTGTCGTAAGTGTAAAAGGAGCCCTAACCACTTCCTGCCAAGTGTACAGCCTTCTCCTGTACTCTTTTATTTATCCTTTGCTAGAGAGGAAGATTGTAATTAAAGTCTGTGTAGAAATAAAGAAATAAAGTATAAAGGTAAAATAACTAGATCAGGGTTTGTTCAGGATCAAAGGTTGAGGGTCAAAGGTCAGGGTCAGCATGTTGTGGGTAAGATAAAGCAAAAAATTTTTTTTTTTTTTTTTTTTTTTTTATTGCTTCTGGGCCTGACTATGGGTACATATAACAAATGACAAACAGATGGTGTATTGCAGCTATTGTCAGAAGTAGGAGAATTTTGTTTTTGTTTGTTCTTTGGTGCTGAGTTATGGTATTTGCAAAAAAATATACAGCTAAGTTTAAAAAAAAAAAAAAAATTTATTTATTTACTATTTTAGGATAGTTTTTCTCTGATCATAAAAAAAAAAAATCAGGAGGTGTCCATTATCATTTACTACCAGATGTAGGCCCAATTTGTCCTGAGAAAAACAAGGTATAATTTGGATACACTAAGTAGCAAGGATATGTTTTTTCGTTTTACTAACACACACCAAAGTTGCAAAACTGTTTTCAGGCTTTAAAATTTGCTTTATCTTTTGCCATGAAGGGATAAACTGTTATACATTTCCGTTTCCCATGCACAACAAGTGAAATTTCAATTATGGATTGTGCATTGATCATTGCCTTTATTACCGGCCAGGAAAGCATAATGATATTTATTAGAAAATGTCTGATATTAAAGTGATTATAAACCATTACATATACCCAGTGAAGTGACTGGCCTCAAATGATAAACAGAGATTAAACAAATCCTCCTACATAGGTTGTATCTGTTTATCTGCAGTTATTTCTTACCTACAGCCATTCAAAGTGCTGAATTTATAAAGATTGTCAGAGTTCAGAAAAAAGGGTGTGGAGAGCTGAAATTGGACACTGCGGAGCTCAGTGAGAAGAGCTGATTGGAGGAAAGAGACACACACACACCCTCCACACAACTCACAGGAGACTGTCAATCTGTTGGGAGGTCCCTCCTTGTCACCATGTCACCATTTTTCTCTTGGTGTCAGGGAAACTTGTCAGAAGTGACTCATGCTGATAGCAGAAGAACAAAGCAGCAGACAGACATGACAGTTAAAGTGTTACTAAACCCAGGACTCTGCATTCACTTTATCTGGTCTCCCACAGAACATGGAAATGCAATTATTTTAGTAAATATAAACTGCTAAATATCTTTTGCATCAGCAGTGACTTCAGTCAGTGTCCATAAGAGCAGTGGGTAAAGCTTGTAGGAGGCGTTTTCATTCTCCTCTGGCTGTCTTATGAGGCTGCATGACCTCTACCCTCTGTCTGTAAAGTGCTGATTGGCTCTGTGCTGATCACATGCACTCTCCCCCCCCCAAAAAAAAATAAACTCTCTAGCAATACGCACCAAACAGAGCACGTGCAGAGTGTCTCCTAGGGTTCTGTACCATCAGCAGATGGATTGGGGACTGTGGAAGAAGGGGAGGTTCAGAGAAGACAGGCTCTTTACACAATGCAGAAAATTAACCCCCTAGGTTCCACAGCGATTATAACAAACATGCTTTACTGCGTATACAGACTGATTTTGCTGCTGTGGGTTTAGTTTTAATTCTCTTAACTGAGACAACTACACACTATTAAAGGGTTTGCTTTTTTTATAGTTCATGTCTGAAGTTTACAAAAACTCTAATCTTATGGAAAAATTGTGTTTCATATACCCAAGATGTCAATAATCCTACCCCTTTTTTTCAGTTGCCAGGTGGGGAGTACCACAAAGTGTTCACAGTGTCTTCGGGCCCCTCGTGTTACATGTATCTTTATGTAAACATCACAGCTGTGACCCTGGAGAAGAACCTCACGCGCCTGCAGGAGCTAAAGGAGAGGGTGGAAAATGGCAGTGGTGAGTTACGAAGGGGTTAAGGGTATTGGATGCCTTTACATTAAATCCATTAGAAGAAAAATAATTCCAGTAATTATATACCCTATCTCTATTTGTGAGCAAAGGGGTTGTCACATCCTATCACCATACCTTAAAGTACTGAGGGTATTTACTGAGTATCACCAGGGTTGCATATACTGTAGGTTCTAGAGCAAAGGATGGAGTTGGTTTTGTCTTAAACTTGTCTGCTACAGAACATAGCAGATTACACTTGGCAAGACGGAGGTCTTGTTGTGCTTGGTTTGAAAGATGTATAATACTTTTTATAGGTGGGGGGAAAGCTATAGTACCGTTGTTAATCATACCAACCAGCCATGCCATTATGACCACAGACAGGTAAAGGGAATAGCATTGATTATCTTGTGACAATGGCACCTGAAAGGGGTGGGATATATTAGGTAGCAAGTGAACATGTCACCCAGGAGGTGAAAAGCAGAAAATTGGGCAATTGTAAGGTTTTGAGAGACTGCGACAAGGGCCAAATTGTAATGGGTAGACAAGTGGGTCAGAGCAACTCCAAAACTGCTGCTCTTGTGGGACGTTATTGGTCTGCAGTGGTCAGGACCTACCAAAGGGTCCAAGGAAGGAGAACCGGTGACAAGGTCATTGGCACCCAAGGCTCATTGGTGCAAGTGGAGACAGAAGGCTGACCTGCGGTAGTCTGATCCAATAGAAGAGCTACTGCAGCCCATATTGCTGAAAGAGTTAATGATAGATCCGATAGAAAGGTGTCCCAACACACAGTGCATCACAGTTTGCTGTGTATGGGTATGTGTAGCTGCACACTGGTCTGGGTGCCCATGCTTACCTGTGTCCAAAAGCACTTACAATGGGCACATGAGCATCAGAAATGGACCACAGAGCAATGGAAGAATGGGGACTGGTCTGATAAATCACTTTTTTTCTTTGAAATCATGTGGATGGTTGGGTGTGTCGCTTACCTGGGAAAGAAATGGCAGTAGGATATAATATGGGGAAAAAAGCAAGCCGGTGGAGGCAGTGTGATGCTTTATCTAATGGTGTCCATGCCTCTATGGGTTAGGGCTATTTTTGTTGGCAAAAGGGGGACCTACCCAACTTTAGGTGGGTGGTCGTAATATTATAGCTGGTCAGTCATGGTCGGTGTATGTCTGTGTAGTTAAGGATCAACAATTATTTCTAATATTATAGCTGGTCAGTCATGGTCGGTGTATGTCTGTGTAGTTAAGGATCAACAATTATTTCTAATTCTCAAGGTAATTGCATGCACACCAAAGATAAGTACAGGCTTACCTCGATTTACGAACGCCTCGGTTAATGTAATTTTCGGTTTAAGAATGAAAATAATGCATCGGTTTACAAATTTTTTCGCAATACGAAGCAAGTTTCCCCAGGAATCATTGCGCCTGAGGTTTATAGCACCAGCCTCGTGTCTTTAAAGTGCACTGCATAAAGAGTTTTGAACAGATAAAATACTTTTTTTTTAACTTTTTTGTGACCTCCGGAACGGATTAATTGGTTTTCAATGCATTTATTTATTTATTTTTTTAATCATGTCCCTGTACGGTATTTATGCCTTTAGAGTGCACTTTAGAAAGAGTTTTGAACACAGAAAAGACTTTTTCATTACTTTTTTCTGACCTCTGGAACGGATTAATTTGTTTTGAGTGCATTCCTATGGGAAACCACGTTTTGGTTTACAAATTTTTCCCAATACAAAACGTCCTGAGAACGCATTAAATTCGTAAAGCGAGGTACGCCTTTACTGACCATACTCCCCATGCTTCTGAGACTTTGCTTGTAATAGCAGTTAGAAACCCAACCTTTTGATTGCTTACTGTGTAGTCTTCTCGCTTTGTTGGACCATAGCAAAGGTTTATTTACATAATGTGTCAGATAAGTACTTTGCTTTTCCTACCAGATGATCACTGGAAGTCAGCCGCATCAAAGGGGATTTAAAGTGTAACTAAACCCCACTGCAGATTACCAGTCTTTATATGGTGGTTGCATTAGGTTTCTTTTTTGAGCTTAAAGCGAAATAATACTTGCCTCAGGTCCAACGATGGAGAGTCCCCAAGCTCCCTGCCTGGCCGCTGACATCGTTGGATTACCAGCTTGCGAGGATGATGTCACTCTCGTGCATGAGTGGGAGTTCACTCAGATTCGGCATTGACACATTTGTACAGTGATCTGCACATGCGCGGCTCTCTGTACAAGGGCGGTTGGGCAGGTAAGTAGCCCCCAGTCACATCAAAGCCAATTTTGAAATCGTGCGACTTACAGTGATTTAAAATCAGGTGACCTGCCAATTTCAGTTGCGATTTGCAAGATATCTGACACAGATGTCTATGCAGATCGCAACAAAAGTAATGCATGCACTACTTTAGAAATCAGTGCAGCTCCAACCAAGTTCACGTACCAGTCCCGTCATCCCTCTCAGCAACACCCTTCCCATGTAATGAAGATAAACAAAGGCAAACTTGTTCAAAGTCCAGCCTGGGTGGCAGCCATGGTTCCCTCCATATATACAGTAGAAGAGAGCATGTAGCCTCCCAGGGACAGGACATGTGTTAACAGAAAAGAACAAAACAGGGCGCACTCTCCTCGAGCATTAACACAATAACCAAAAATGCAGGGTGGATAAAAAATCAATGATTTTTTTTTTAAAAATCAAAAAAATCTGTTTTTTTTATTTAAATCAGTTTTTTTTTTTATTTAAATCGGATTTTTTTTTTGATTTAAATCAGATTTTTTTTTATTTAAATTGGATTTTTTTTAAATAAAATGCTTTTTGAGGAAAATATATTACCATCGAAAGGTTATTCCATCATGAAATAAAGATTAGTTTTTTAATTATGTAGAATAAGGCTGTATATGTTTAATTTTTTTGGTAAATAAATTCCATTAATCCATTCACAATGTCATGCTCTTCCAGAGGTTTTTGTAAGATTATTGGGCAGTTTCTCTGCCTACAAGATATTATCACAGATGCTTGGTTTACTTTTGCAGTTATCAAAACTGAATTTGACTCAGCGGAGATCACATGCCTCTTCTTCACAGCAAAAATGTTATAACATGAACAGAGTTAAGAAAAAGACCTTAATCCTAACTTCTACAAACCTATGAATACAGAATCAACCCCTTCAGTGCTAAATTTCAAGAAGTTCAGTGAATAGAATAGAAACAATATTTGTCTGATTGTTTGGAGTTGAATAGATCTGCACAAGAAGAAAGTGAAACTAAGTGTGAGGAGGAAGGGGCTGACAGCCTAAGTTTCTTAAAATATATATATTTTGTTTAGCCAAATTAGTTAACAAACATGGATGTTTGTTTAAGCAAATAACATATGCTGTAATGTTATTGTTTCAGTTGAATAAATCTATTTAAATTGTTATTATTAAGGTAATAAATTATTTTTTCCTCCTTCCTAAGTACAACAGAAAAGTTGTCCAAATATGAATGATTAACCTGGGGATAAAAAAACTAATATAAAAAGTTGTTATTCTAAAAATCTTCATCTACTTGCATATTAAATTTATACCAGCAAGAATTAGGCTTTATGTAGAAAACTATGATTTAAATCAAGCCTTACTGACTAGTGATTTAAATCGTGATTTAAATCAGTTTGATTTAAATCAAATCCACCCTGCAAAAATGTATTAAAAAGCTGGTCAGGGAGTTCTTCGGGAGTCGAACTCCCTTCCTCAGAGAAGGGGAGTTCGACTCTTGAAACGCGTTAGCACTTTACCCGAGGATGCATGCTGTCCACGACTGGCACCTTTTGACTTCTTGTCTCTCTTTTTATGACCTTTTATGGCTTGTGAGTATGTTTTTGCATCTTTTTAATACATTTTTGGTTAATGCAGAAGGAGAGTGCGCCCTGTTTTTTTGTTTTCTGCTAATATCAAGATTCCCCGATCTATCAAGGGCAGCACCTCAGCAAGTGCACAATTCCATTTTGAGTGCAGCAAGAGAGATTTAAGTGCCGGTTTCTGGTTACTACAGGACGTGTGTTATTCACAGGTTTACAAAATAAAAATAAAGGGGAAAAAAAGAAAAGCACCTACAACATCTATTGACTGTACCGATAAGCTGCAATATCACATTTTTTTTTTTTTTTTTTGCTTTTAAGATTAGATATGCTTTTAACACCGTGGGGGGGCAGTTGGTATGAGACATACAGTCCCTGACACTTGGAACTGGTTTTAAAAAGATTTCAGCAACAGTTGACTGCCTCAACAAAACAGAAGCAGGCAAGGATCTGCAAAAGCATTCACCAGAAATGCTTACACTTTTTACACAGTTGCCTTAAAAAGAAATTCACTTCAGAATTGAAAATGAGGTTCTGAGATGCAGATGCAACAGTTTCTACCTACTTTGTTTCTCACCCAGGCATTGCTGCAGTGCACTAATCCACTGTTTAGCTGTAATCTGGTTGTGATGCAGGGCGGCTGTTCCCAAACTTGTCCCACACATAGGGAGCATCCTAAAAATATCAGTGCGATCGCCATTCACACTCAGACCTGCCTTGGGAGTTTGAATTTGGAGATACAGGAAGCAGAGAAACATAGCATATCTGCTGTGAATTATTAACTCAATATAGCATTGTTGAAGGGTTTCTGGCACATAGTCATGTGGAGGTTAAGGCATGTTGGGATGTTAAAGAAATCTGATGCGTTCATAGGGCTTGTGATCATTATAATGTTCTGCGCTATCTGTTCCTAGTTTTGAAACCAAGTACATAGATATTATTTCTATTAATGTTATTATTATTATTTGTTTTTTCAACGTTTTCGTGAGAGCAATGGCAAGTGGCACAATTTTTTTTTCAAGTTTCCATATGTTAGGGTAATATAACCTTTTCTTGTGCAGATTAAAACAGATAACACCTTTATTTCCTCACTAACTTCTTTTCAATGTGATGGTTTCTTTGCCATCTAGAGAGTGCACCCCTGCCACCAGAACTTCAGCCGCTTCTCTCAGGAACGTTAGATGGAATCAATGTCACAGACCCTCTAGTTCTCACATACCTGCGTAGACAGAAGCGAATTGAGGAAGCAGAGCGCCGACGCAATGCAACTGTCGTACAAAGATTTGAGAAGTTTTTCAATAAGAAGTATTATCTTCTTCGTCGCAGGTAAGTGCCTTGATTTGGGTGTTTATATTATATTTCAGGACACCATCCAGTGTCAGCATCTGCCTGCTGGACTAAGATACTGGCTCAAAGAGGTAAGTCCCATTCGCCATGCAGTTCTTGGCTTTTTTGCTCAGAAATGTCTTGACACAGATGAGTCCCCTCCTGCAGCTATTCATGTTTTTGAAGCTCTGCAAAGTTACAGTGTAGCAATTTGATCACTAGGGAGAAAATGAGGAAATGCATGCTTCTGCCTGTAGCAGACTGATGACCTAATCCCAGCCTAGGCAAAGTGGAGCTCAAGGACAGCTTTATATTGATAAAAGATGGAGCTGTTTTGAGAAAAAAAAACCTACCGGTGCTATATACTGTAAGGCTAGGTTCACATCTGTGCGGGTGGTGCCGCTGTGAAAATCCATGCATCCGCACCACCTGCACAGAGGAATGCGGACCCGCGGGCAGGTGCCATTAGTTCTAATGGCACGCCGCCCGCACTGGAAACCGCAACCGTACTGGGAACCGGGCTGCGTTTTCCAAAGAACTGCAGGGACTTCTGCCCTGCATGTCACGGGGCACGAGAGTCCATTCATTTTACATGCAAACATGTAAAAATGTGAAGGTAATTTTAAAATATACTTTAGAATAAAGAGTTAAAATATTATTGCAAAATATGCCAAAGATAAATCTGTACTTTCCTGTTAAGGAAGGCTAAAAAATGCTAACTTCCTACCTGATAACACAGCAGATTTATGTCGCCAAGTTTTTTTGTATTTTGAAGAGGAAGGGGTGGGACTCCCTCCTATTTTTCTGAGTGAAGACTAAACTGTACCATTCTCAGGCCAGGAGGAATGTTATATTTACATTCAATAATGTAGCTTAACAGAGTTTCAGTTTAGCTGGTAACTTTCCAACTGTGCTCAGTGTCTTTTTTGTTGCTTAAACATATTTCTTTATTGTCCATTGAGGAACACAGGAATTCAGAAACAGACAGGTTATATTGCCACCTACAGGAGGTTGGGACACTGGCAAAACAAAAAATTGTTGGCCAGCTCCCAATTGATCCCGCACCTACCCAGCATGCCTCAATTTTTTGTTAGTGTCCTAGGCGGTTACATACCTTTCCTTCAACTCTGCTAAATAAAAGTCAAATTTTTTTGCTAACCTTCATAACTTTGTGGCATTTTTCCTTGGGGACTTTAATCAGCATTTATTTTTTATACTAATACTTAAGCCGTTCTTTGTATAGCAGATATCCAGATTGGCATTTCCTCATCACTAGCTCTGAAGATCATATATTGGACTTGACAGTATCTGCTATCTTGAACCTGGGACCCATATTGTCATGGGGTCATCATCATCAACTCATCTCATTTGGGTGTGAACTTCCTAGCTGTCTATGCTTAGATACTGTGGCACTCTAAAGAAGCTGTAAGCTTGCTCTAGTGCCATCCCCTGCAGAGTCAGTCTTTGACCCTCCTAAGCACTTAAACCAGGCCTATGGCCCCTGTTACCTTCTTTGAATCACAGTCCCAACAGTCAGCGGTACATGCACACCGTGCTCTCAATGGACAGCATGCCGTCTTTTGAGAGAGCTGTGTCGCAGCCGTGACTCCCACACACATGTACAGGAGTGACATCATCGCAGCTCGGCCATTCAAATGGCAGGAGCCCAAGAACCCAGAAGAAGGACCAGGTGAAGATGGGTGCCCTGTCAGCTGTGACAGCGCACTGATGGATGGCTTCATTTTGGAAACATAGATTAGTGACGGCAGAAAAAAGACCCAAGTGGTCCCTCAAGTCTGCCCATTTTAAGGCATAATGTGCGAGTATGCGATGCATACTAGCATATTATGACATTATCCTGCAGGGGCACAATTTTTTTTTTTTTTGTGATTTACTACCGCTTTTACTGTGTCAGAGTAAGTAGATTCCCTCAAACAGGATCCTTCTACCTCTAGGGTAGGCCACTGTATAATAGAGCAGTTGGAGCAAATGTCTAAGGCCCTATGCTTTAGTTGTTATGGCTTGTTACAGGTATCGCAACTTGTGTAGTGAATAAGACTGATGTCCATACAAATGTATCGGGTACTCTGGATGTATCTTCAGCCTCGCAAGCACATAGCCAAAGAGCATCTGACTTGGTTATCCTTTAAAGTATGGGATCTCTTTGGACCTGCTCTCTACACTTTCATTAGCAACACCACTGGTGGCTGGACTGTGCTTCTGCCTCAACACTGGAGGTCTGGAGAAAGCTTAGCTACTTCAGCAGTATTTACTTTATTTAGAACCTACTTCCCTCTCAAGCCCTAGAACATGAAATCAGAGGTTAGCTAATATCTCTGATAAACCTTCTGAAGGTATATTCCTACATACATCCAGATGAAGAGTCAATGCAGAAAATAGAACAAGTGGTCCATTGAGTCTGCCCCATCACACCAAGATCGGTGTGATCAAATGCTTTCCATTTTTAAAAATGCCGTTGTTTTCATCCAGGAAAGTGATGTATGCTCATCGCTTCCTGTTTCCTATATCATAGAGATGGACAGAGTGGTGCTGGGGTTTGTCTGTCTCTATGATCAGCCAGCGGAAGCACCGGCTGGTTGTTCGGGTGTCACGGATTGAACAATCTCTGCCTATCCTTCCAGTGGATGGGACTGACAGTACAAGGCTGCAGATAACAATAACTGAATTATAACAAAAAAAAAAAAAAAAAAGGTAAATAAAAATAAATTTAACCACTTGTCAACTGTTCTATAGCCGAGTGATGGCTACAGCGCGGTTGTCCAGTTCTGGGAGAGCGTCATATGACATCCTCCCACAATGCGCCCTCGGCGATCTCCGTGATCGCTGTGTCCTACAGACATAGCTGGTCACGTGATGTGGTAAAAGGCAAATCACGGCGACCTTTTACCACATGATCAGGCGGTAAATGCAGTTGCCAGTTATCCGCTGCACTTTCCCCACGTTGTCACAGCGTGAGGAAAGTACTGTCGATAACCGGCAATTGTTAGAGGACGGATCAGCACCGATCATCAGGACACTGATGATCAGTGCCCAGCAGTGTCACCCACCTGTGCCAGCAGTGCTGCCCATCAGTGCCCCCACCTGTGCCAATCAGTGCCATGTAATTCCACCCACCTGTGCCCAGCAGTGCCACCAGTCAATGCTCAGCAGTGCCGCCAGTCAGTGCCCATCATTGTTGCATATCAGTGCAGCATCATCAGTGCTGCCTCATCACTGCACATCAGTGAAGGAGAAAACTTACCTGTTTGCAAAATTTTATAATAGAAACAAAGAAAAACTTTTTTTTTTTTCAATTTTTTGCTCTTTTTTTGTTTATAGCGCAAAAGATAAAACACCCAGTGGCGATTAAATACCAGCAAAATAAAGCTCTATTTGTGTGAAAAAAAAAAAAATTATAAAAATTTCATATGGGTACAGTGTTGCATGACCGCGCAATTGTCATTCAAAGTGCGACTGCGCTGAAAGCTGAAAATTGGCCTGGGCACGAAGGGGGTATAAGTGTCCATTAGGCAAGCAGTTAAAAAAATGTTTTATTCAAATACATAAAATGAAAAATATGTAATAATCTGCACATACTAATAATCAGATAATATTACCAACAAAATAATATATAAAAAATTTAAATAAAATAATAACAAATATGTATCTGCAGATAACAATAATCAGATTACAACAAAAAAATATAAATAGAAAATAATAAAAATATCAAAATAAATGCAAATAAAAATAGATATATTTTATAAAAATAAAATAATCAATAAAAATAATTTAATACATAAGATAATCTGCAGATCCTCCTCCCACTGGTCCATTGGCACAGAGCGCCACCAATCAGAGCCAGGTGTTCTCTGTATGGCTACCCAGCCCTGATTGTGTTCCTATGCAGAGCTGCTGGACACAGAGAACACCTGGCTCTGACTGGCGGCGCTCTCCGGCTGCGGAGGGGGGGTGGGACTGGACTGGAGCGTGCCTCTGCCAAGCGAAAAGGGGGTTCCACAGACGTCCGGACAGCCTGCAGAAGGCTGTTGTCCCCCAACATTCCTGCACTCACCTGTCCTACGATCCAGTGGTGTGTTCACACCAGCTGGGTTCATCAGCCATCCTCTCTTTCCAGTGACATTGATGTCACATGGGGTGGGGTCACATGCGTGATGTCCCCGTGTGGCCCCCACCCCTTACATATTTAAGAACTGTCAAACCACCAGAGCAGGCAGTAGGCTGGAAGCCATCGTTGGGAATGGAGATTTTTTTTTTTAAATTCTTTTTTTCGGGCTACGGAAGGCATCGTGATTGACGTTGGATCTACTGCGGGGGACATTCTTTTAGTTTTTCTTTTAATAAACGACTTGTCAAAGACTGTATCCTGTCTTTTTTTCACACTACAATTTTTGTTTTTTGTGAATGAATAGGGTACCCCATACTCATTCACATAAGAGAGGGCTGGGATCTGGGGGCCCCCTTGCTAAAGGGGGCTTCCAGATCCTGATAAGCCCCCTGCCCGCAGACCTCCACAACCACTGGCCAGGGCTGTGGGGAAGAGGCTCTTGTCCCCACAAGGTGCTTTGGGGGGAAGCCCTCCTGCCCCAGAGCACCCCCCCCTTCATGTTGAGGGCATGTGGCCTGGTATTGTTCAGGAGGGGTAGCTCGCTCGTTCCCCCCCCCCCCCCCCCTTCCTGACCTGCCAGGCTGCATGCTTGGATAAGGATCTGGTATACATTTTGGGGGGACCCCCATGCCATTTTTTTTTAAAGTTTGGCGTGAGAGTTCCCCTCAAAATCCATATCAAACCCGAAGGGTTTTTTTTACATTATTGTTTTAATTGCCGGCAATTCTTTTATATTCAGCTGTCAGTGGGGAACCCCGCTGACAGCTGAAACATTAACACGTGGTTGTCACTACTAAAATACCGCATGACTTGATAAAATAACTCATGCGGTGTTTTAGTAGCGTTTACTTTTTCTGACCTCCAGAACGGATTA